TATATATATATATAGAACAATATTTGGAGTAAACACTTTTTTGTACCTATCACAGCCACTGAGTGCAACTCTGACATACCTGCTGATAAATAAGTGAATTTCATACATGAGTGCCAATTTGAAAAAGAGAAAATTCAGTTCCACCAAACCGCGATGGCGAAGGGTTTCTCCTGAATAATATTTTGTGCACATATTTCTTTTGTGACTACCTGTTGTACAGTGCCAAAATCACTTTAAGTGAATTGTCGGGGATAGCAGATTGTGAATATGGAAACACGGTTGTGTTTTACTGCGGATAGGTAGTCAAATACAACAAGTTACCCTCGAACTGAAGATAAATATTGAGTTGATTTTTCTCGTAAAAAAGTTGCATTTGTGGTCAAATAATTGTGAATCAGTTATGTACAACTTTCCACTTCGCATCAACTCCATTTGACCGTTCCATGAAGTTAAACGCCAAAAAGAATTATCTTTGATGTTGCTTTATCTTAACCCATGCTGTTTTTTATTAGGACTGGAGCCGCCAAATAATGAGAAAACCAACTGGTTTCACTGGCCCATTCATTTGTCCATCCGCTGACAGTATCGGAGTTGTCTGACATTGCAGCGACTTATTTAGACAAAGAATCAACCATTGCCGCAGACGTCACCATAAATTAACCTAATCTGCCTAGTTATTTGATGGTTTTGATCGTCATGAATTGGATCGAAAAGGTGGAAATTTTAGGGGTATGCCTTTATGGTATTATTCAGCTGATGGAGGGGTTATAGGAACATGGTCGGTCTCTCACCTGGTTGTACGTAATTTCCCGAAGAATCATATTTAACTTGAAGACTATTTTGGATTACCGCCATCAGTTCCAAACTTGCTTTAAGGCAGAGTTACGAGGCGACCCGCAGAATCACATCAAAATCCCGTGGTTGCTCAACAGGCCAATGAAAGTGTCTAAGAGAGGTAAGATGCGATTCGCAAGCTGAAATTGCTCTTCCCAAACCTAGAAAATGAATAAGAAAGTAATGCACCTCGTGGGTGAGAACGATTTGCTATAAACTTGTTCTGCTGGATGCGAGTCTTATAGGGAGATCAAATGAAGCGGTTTTGGATCAAGTGGTTACGAATTCCTGTAAATTCAATGAGAGGAACGTGTTTTATGGTTGATCTTCCTTGCTTCTGTTGAGATCAATGATAACAATCGTAACCATGATAAAAGCCAGTAGCTGCAACAACTGAACACGAGGCTTGTTTGCTACGTCTGCTTACAGTTCTTAAAACATTTCCACGGATAGAACACAACTCAGCTCCGATGATTTTTGGTTACGACAGATTCCCTGCTAGCTTATTTAGACGGAAGTTTTTTTTAATGCTTTTTTGCTGTTACTTAATACAATTTTTCCAACGGTAGGGATTGCTTTATTCATAAATAAAACGTCAACCGTGTTCATAGTAGTAACAAAGATTTGCTCAGATATTAGGGTGCCCCGCCAAATAAGGCTTTTTTTCTTCACTGGCTGTCATCGATTGGGGTTTAGCAATGAACAGTGTGACCCCACTTTATCTGTTTCATATGGTCTTACACAGTATTATGCTTCTGGTGAAATCATGGCTTCGCCCAGCTTTGGGTTATCAGCACATCCCGCGCTGGCCAGACCATCCGGCATACAGCACATGGATGGTCCCAATTTTATGCATATTGACTAGTCTACGGAAACATGGCAAGGGATACAGTGCCTCCACTCATAAAACAAATTTATACGTCCGTGGAAGTTAGTCGACCCAAAAATTACTGATAAAAACAAAAAGGAGTCTGTCCGTTAAGGCCACTAACAGCATAAAGTCCAGCTTACAGTGGTTGTTCATTTCTCTAAAACTGCAGCGTATGGCTCAAATCAGTTGAATGAAGCGATCGTTTTGTGTACTGCAATTTTGATTACTTCTACAAAGCCACTACTTCTGTAAGGCCACAAACACCACTGTGTTACTAAGGGCGCTCTTATTATCCTGAGGAGTGTTCTTCGATTTAACCGACGAAACGGTCATACAGATATCGATTGCTCAATTCTCAGGATATTGTTTCGGAAAAAGCACAGAATATGTGCACTGGAACGGTGCAACACAAGTCCGTTGCAATTTCTATTCGCGATTATTAACCATACACAGTGCATTCAAAATCGATACACATTTCAGATCAATTCAGACAAGCTGTTTGGATAAGTTTCCAGCGGTATCCTCGGAAAATTTTGATCGATGTATGTTCCGCTCCTACAACTTACCAATCAATCGCCAAGGCATGTGTTGTGCTTATCCTTTTTCAAGTTGTGTCAAATAATTGAGTAGTGCCGTCGAAGCACTGGCCTCAACAGCTATTCCCACACGGATGCGGTGTTTCTCAGTTGAATTAGAAAGGTATCCGATTACTTCAAGTCGATCTTTGTAACGCTGAGTTCAGAACCTGTTTCAAATACTTTTTAGCAGACAATGCAGGTCCGGTCATGCGGCTAGTTTAAAGAGCTACTTTGGTTCCGGATCATTCACTGCACTAAGTGAAGTAAGATACCGAGTAAGGTAGCGAGTATAGACTTAGTTACCTCCATAGGATTTAAATGAACAGCACCAAACCGGTAGTGCAAATGACCCAACATAACCACTGGAACACCCGAACAATCACAACCGGCACTTGAATAGAGGTATTTCTACGGATGTTTCATAATTCTGGATGGAATATACCAAGTTCGAATGTGTAGTAAAATTTCCCTCATGCTACAATCTGCAGCAGTTACACATTTACGCAAAGGTTTAACTGAGAATGCTGTCCAATCCGACTGAGGTTTGTTTCCCTGTTTATGTTACAGTTACTGACTTTGCCGTGAAATTTAGGTGGAGGTCTTATGTGGATGAACACGTTTCCCCATCCGGCTTCTTTATGTTATTGTATGCGTTGGTCCCAGTCAGATCATCAGCAACACCTTGGGGACTAATGTAGTATTATTGTTTTCCGCATAATCTTTCGTCACAGTTTGAGCCTGTTGAAGAAGTTTAGACACGCATAAAAAATTCGAATCAGCTTAAGTTTTTCCCGTAAACCATCAATATTTGGTGGCCTCACCTAATGAATATTGCTTGCCCAGTATGCACGATATGTATTACTGCACACGTGTATACAAAATCTTATTGGTGGAAGTTTTACGGGGTCTTGCATTGATCTAAGCAGATCATCAAGGACTTACCTCCAGAGGTCTAAAACTTTGTAAGGTATTCAAAATATTTCCTACCTGTGTTTAGCAGTTTCATCAATAACTCGATGAAATTGCCACCGTCATGTGATCCGGTTGGTTGTGAGCCGTTCTGTTGCTTCAAGTGTGACGCGTAAAACGGAAAATGCGATAAAGATGCTGTGGTTTTGAAATGCTTACCACATTTCTATGCAATTAAAATGCAGGCAGACGGTCGGTAAGCTTAACTTCAAAAACAGGGTCTTATGGGATATTAATTCCTTTATTTACTATCAATGTGCAAAAACATCTTATACTTTTAATTTTCAAAGATTCCCGACAAAAACAGCCTTGCATAAATTTTTTTCTCTTAGTTACCCCAGACTCACGGAGCTGTTCACCGAAGTTTTGGGTAGGACAGCGTTATAAATCAGATTTTGATCAAAATACAGCTTTGATTAAAACCGAAACCACCAATAAACGCAACATTTAATGCGTGCATTTTCACTATGTAGTATGATTCATAGTACATAAACTGTACCCCTTCCAAGTCAAGAGGTGAATAATACCACATCTGCCAAAGGTGCTTTTAACCGTTACATTTAATTAAATCCAAGTGCTCGAAACCATGAATGATGTTGTTCGTACAAAAACGAGCTCATTAATCCCGTTCAGGTTAGATCTAAATGATAGCTACAAAAATGAACCCTTTTTTACTGAAATTCTTGGTGTTAGCTGATCGAATACTCGTCTTCGAGACCCGGCTGCTCACTATGAGTAGCAAACTAGCAGTCGTTTTAAAATGACAGTGACATTTTATTAAACTAGCCCATTTATTTTTTGATGAAAAAAATCCACTGCTTTTCATCAGCCTTTGGTTTTTTTTAAGGATTTCACACCCCCAACAAATGCATATCCTAATTGTCACCATGTCCGAGGCACTGAACTGTTGCTCACGTTTAAGTGTTTTTATTTATAAAACCAAATATACTGGAGCAGAGCTGATTCTGGTAAGTTAGCTCACTCATCACTAATCTTTCGGTTTATATGAATAACAATCGAAGCAAAAAACAACTATCGCGTGAGACAAGGGGAGTTAGCCCGAAGAAATTCACAAGCAGCTTGATTTCTCATCCTCAGGCTGAACAGTTTCATGGGTAACACATTTGTTAATCTCCTTGGGCAAAAGCAGTTCACGAGTTTCCATTAACCACAGGTTCTACTTGAATAGAAATTACACACAACAGACCATAATGCTAAATGGAAACTCAACGGAATCGTAGGTGAGTTCCTCCATAGTTCCTCGTAGGCTGTCGGAGTCTTCAGCGACCTCATAAGCAGTGTGCACCTTCAAGAAATGTACTGCGATATCGTGAGCATTGCATAACTGAAGCATCAGAGAGCTTTTGTATAAGACGTTCAATTGGAGTATCTCGCAAGCGAGTGATTCATTTGGAGACCAATTTCGTTTTTTGTCAGTACTAAGAAAATTCGCAAATGAGCGTTTGTCATTAAAACAGCAACGTAATTGAGACCGCTGTCGTTGTAGGAATAATACACCTTAAGAGGTCGGCTTCTGTCAACACACAATGCTCATGGACTCAGTCAGAAGATACTCTTTGGACAAGTACACATCGACGACTGTCCTGAGATGCTTCGTCGTTCGTTTACAAAGAAGCTACTTGCCCATCATCTAGAGCTCAACTCAGTTTTCGCAACTGGATATTCACAGACCACCTGAGCGGAACCGGCAACAGTGGTCCGAACCGCTTCATTTTCCCCTAAGTTTTGTGTGTTTAACTTGTCCTCCTTAAACGACAGATTAATGTACGAATACCAATGTTAATTTACTCCCGAGTCTTCGCAAACGCTTGTTTCCATTTTTTCTAGAGCTATCCGTTAGCTCGTTGGCGCTATTTGATTCGTTTATTTAGTCAAGATTCTCATTGTTGAGATAGGCTTTGAGGTAGTCGATGCGTTAAGCGGAGAGAGGGTATGATTTCCACCTATACCATACGTAATATATCTGACATATAGTGATCCTGAATGATGTGTTCATACTGGATTAGACGTAGGGTGAACTATTTGAACGATTTTGTACCACAGTCTTTATCGTCACCAACATTGTCATCTACATTGTTGTCAGTGGTATACTCAAGCTCATGGTAATACTATTATCACTACCACTGTTGCCAATAACAACAATGAAGAATAGTTATTATAACTCTTGTCACCATCTTCCTCGTTGCCATCAGTCTCGACGTTTGGATTATGTATTCCTAAGACTCGTTTTGCTTGAGTGTACCGGAAGTGAGAATGAACGTGATGCTCGTTTCCTATCCAGGACACCAGCGAGGTGAGACTCAGTTTTAATTCCTTCAAAATTTCATTATACATTTGTTTCATCTTTCCAATTCGTTTGCAGAATTTGTCGGCTGAAAAAGAAAGCTTTTCATGAAGCCAACAAGATAAAGTACACCGGTCTAGAGAAAGAATACTGTGAGTCCGGTTCACATGCTTTTCCCGCTCGTTTCGTCAAGCTTTAGGTAAACTAATGTTAACTGTGAACATGGACACCTTCCTTTCGTACAATATCACTGTAAGCATCAGCATTCCACCGTTTCGTACTGCACCTTTGGAGCCTGAGGTATTCAGACAGCAAAGTTCCCTGCGGATCTGTCTTGGAAAGCTACAGGCCATTGAAATTTCCTTTTAAAATTTGCAAGTTTTTCCGGGAGTCGTTTAAGTTAACATACTGTTTGTCTTCCTTCACTTTTTTCTGTATTTACTGCCACTTAGCTGCTGTAGGTTTTTGGCCGTAGAACTCTGCCCATTACTGATTGTGATGCTTTCAAAGTGAATAAGCGTAGTGACTTTTAAAGAAAACTTATGAATAGAGAACCGTTCAGAACTCAGACTTCTCTCCTGAGTGATAAGGTTTTATTAATATGTTATTATTATCATTATTTTTATTTTTATTATTATGTTTCCTAACCTTAAGCGGAACACTGTGACTGTAACATAGTTATCTTCAGAATATGCAACGTTTTCGACCCATCAAGTACACGCTGCATAGTCAAAGCTTATCAGGATGTCTCCTTTTCCAAAGAAACCCGTTTAAATCATTTCATTTAAGTGGTCGCCAGGAAGAACACAGGTCATTTCCTATTAGAAGTTCAGCTGGCATTTTTCATTGGGTAGGCATTTTGATAGAATGCGTACAAATGCATACAATAACGATTCCGTAGTGTTTTATTTGATTTAGTCTAGCCTACTGAAATAGCGAACGGTCTTTCTGGTTTGCTGTTGCAATAACTCCCATAAATCAGGGCGCAAGCATAAAGGAAAACATATGCACAAACCAGCATTCTGCGATGCACAACTAGAGAACTTCACTTTACAGCATGTCAGATTTTAAGAACTTGTGATCTACAGCTGGACGACCAAAGTTTCTCCCGCATTGCTTTTGCTGCATCAGTTTTGCTTCTTTCAAGAGTTAAGTGAAGAAAACAGGTAATAGAGCTTCTTCACGACACTTTCGACTTCTCGTGCAAATTCATCATTATTATTATTTTACTCACAACAGTATGACAGATGCATTCACCTAAGTGTAAACGTATTTCAAAGAATATCTAAGCTACACGGTTAGTTTTTATAGGCCCGCATAGCAGCATAATTAATCTAATGAGTCTCAGTTAACTACAAACAGGAGACATCGATGAGCAAGCACAGACAATGTGTATACGGTAGTTCCAACTGAATTCATTTCTCCCTTGGTACATTTACCCGTCTCAATGTTGCTAATTTCCCCCGGTTCCTTAAATTTTACTACTACACGTCTACAGACCGAAAACTTTTGGCAATTTCTGATGGCGAGATTCCCAAAAGGGGCTTACTTCGTCTAAGAACTAACAAGACACAAACATCGCTTGGCCTATTAATTGATTTATTTCAGTTCTGTCAGGCTTGTATGTTCGCAAGCTGCGCTTATTTTTGCTGGCCATCCCCAGCTCTCAACCTCAGTACTAAATAATGGGCCTCACAGTAAAGAACGAGTGATCTCATAGCTTGCGTGTATCGTAGCAGATCATAGGATATACCTGAAACTCTGGCTGAATTGTTCACTTGCAACTTGCAACGCAAAGAAAATGAGTCGATTTGCTTGCCAGCGTCTCAGAACTGAAAACAGATGAGTAAATTAAAAAAAGGCAACAAAACGCTAAATGCGGGTTGTTCAGCTACATCAATCCGAACTAGTGAACTAAGGTAAAGATAACCGGTCAAAAAGTTACAGTGTCGTATACAAATAGTGGAAGGATAAAAAAATGTCGCCCGTCGTTCTCTAAGGCCAAATGCGTAAACCTTGCGTGGTTCAGAATGCAGATTGCTGTTGTGCACAGCACACCATGACCAGCAGCGTTGACTGGTCACACAAACCTCAGAGAAACGAGATTCGGTACCCTGATGTCATGATCTGTGGTCTCTTCGACGGACTTGAGGAACGCGAACTCTGGTGAAGCTTACCGCTTGAATTTTATGCTTCCATTTGACCGACAGCAATATTGTCATTTGATAGTTTTACGTCTTCCTACATGAGGTTGCCTTTAACACTCGCCACAGATTCAGTTACCTCAAATTAGCTCCCAACATCTTTTAAGGGAAGAACCTTATGTTCAGTTATCTTCCTCTTTCCTTAGAACAGCTTGGCACTGATTGTATGCTGGTGGTCACCGAGACGGAGTTATGTATTGAGGTGTCCCGATTTTAACCATTTTATACAACTGGCACCAGGATCAGTATTTCAGTTACTGCTGCCAATTTGAATTCTCCGGGAATTTTCTTATATCTAATTAAGCCTATATGCACAGTATGGTACGTCAGATTTCAATCCATCCAAACAGTGTCTCCCTCTAGCTCGTTGTCTCCAAAGTCGATATGGCATACGTTTTTTCATGGTTGTGTGAACGGACCAGATTGGAGACACGATTTCCAACCGGTTTGCAGAGCAGCAGCACTGGTGCCTGTCAGTTTGCACTACAAACAAATGAGAGGCGTGCACCAGGCGCATTGGTGCAACTTGGATCGACCGTTAAACAAGCTCATGTTCCATATTGACGTTTTGCTTACCGAACGGAAATGAAATGCTGCCTCCCCCAAATTTGTTGTGATAAACTGACTCAGAAAAAACTGCCGTCCTAACAAAACAGGATCTGAGTCACCGAGGCATTTCTCATCACTTAGGAGAATATGACACTCACTCACTAGCATAACATTAACGAGCAGCTACGCCGTTTGACAGATTGGATAGTTGGATAGCCCACTAATGCCCCACTACAGTTATGCTATTGTAGGGATCTTGAAAGTGAGTAATCCAAAAAGAATAGGTTGCACATAAACAGTTTCTTTAAGCTACCTCAACGACTCTCTGATGAGCCATCTGTATGCCTCCGTCTTTTCGTGCCTGAAATCGCTTGCTAAATGATATGTGGATCTTCCCACAAGAAACTGGTTCGAAGTGATACTATATTATATTTGTAAAGACCTGAACAGTTCTTATGACAGATAGGCAGCCCTGAGAGAAATAGGCCCCCAAGACGAGAATGGCTCTGTCGTCCCGGAAGAAACGTATCTTTGAACGTGCCATATTATAGTGAAAACTGCAGGTTTTGACCCTACCGGATGAGGAGACTTTGGGTAAGCGATTATTAGTAATTTTCAAAACCGGTGAAATAAAGAAATGAGAGACTTTTTATTAAGTGGAGCTGTTGGCAACAAGAACTTCCCGGCTCAGGGACGTTTTAGTTACTACGTTTTCGATCTTTTATCAGCCCAGCGAGCTTGAACCCTTGTAGCACTCCATAATAATCCATTAAATAGACTACGTCAGCACTAACCTGAAAAAAACAGAAAGTACACGAAGCCCGCAATTCGACTTGGGAACTGATTCGAAACTTTAATCTTCTACTGATTCTGTCTGCAACAACCCGTACGCTAGCACAACCGTCAGGTTACCGAATTTCTTTTCCACGCTGTAATCCGAAGAGATAACCATTCTCATAATGAAATAACCATCTTTGGACACATCTGCCATTTGAGGATGACTTGAAAGCGTAAGACAACGTTTGTACAGAAAAATATCGGGCCTGTTTTTTGCTAAATCATGACTAAATCGTCAATGTTAGAGACAAAGCTCTCGTTGGCTGGTTTCCGTTTTTGGATTGGCCTTTCACGTCGAACGATGCAAATGGACCTACGCGCACAAGCGCGTGTCTGCATATGCAGCAAACTGAACCCCATAAACCAGGTATGAGCTTTACTTGATCTCGTGGAGACAGTTTTAGAGCTATTAGGATGCCCATCTGATGACTTGCTTGTCCATTCAGCTGAGTGCAACGGAATAGTTGTTGGCTGTGAACAAAGGATCATCTGGTGATCCGTAACACTCATGAAGGGGTCTCCACACACACACACCACACACTCCACAAACTCATTCATCATTCAGTCCCGTGCGTGCGACAGGTCCGGAAAGTTACTTCAAGTTTAAGAATATACGCTAATTAGGATAATAAATTGAGAATTTGCGGACATAGATGAGAAAAGTTTAGAATCTGAACCCAACGGTATCCGTGACTTTATGAATGTGGGTCTTAATTTGATGGACCGGGCTCCCAAAGCCAAAACGTCTACCAAGCCGATAGCCGAACAGCATGTCGGCATCCCTAAGTACAAAAGCCACGTTCAAAAGTGAATGACGCGGATGCAAGGATTTCCTGTGTTTTTATCTCAGTGGGGATCTCAAAACCACCTAAATTTGATCTATTCTTTTGCACCAACGATCGCATTCCTTCACGCAGATTCCGGATAAGGTTGGAAAATTCCAGCGGATTGTTGCATTCAGAAAGAAGTGTCTACAGCGCTTCACGGTTGATGAAATAATGGTCTCGTTAAGCTAAGGAATAGGACATGGGATGGCCAAGATGTTAACGAAATTCTTATTGATGCCGTAATGCCGCAACTGCCAGATCCACCATACTGCAACCAGCAAGGAAACCATAGTTTGCGGGAATGTCTGCTTCAGTCGTTTCGCCTGTCGAGCGGCTGATATCAGTCATTCTAGGAGCTTGCTGGCATAGCTTATCAGGTGTATTCTCATGTAATTGCGACGTGGTCTTCCCTTCACTTAATAGAGTCTATGGTTGCCAATTTATATGGGTCATTTGGAAAAGTATATTCTTCATAATCGGAAACTACACGTAAACAGTTTTACGTGAAGTATCCTTGCTAGCTAACACTCTTCTACAAATGCACGTCCTCCAGCCGCAGCAAATGATGGGACGAAGGTGCGGGAACCGTTTCATATCTCGATGAGGCTGTTTGTTTACTGGAATTCGATCGACGCTCGTCGGTTGCTTCAATAGTTAGTTAAAGCACTTGCGCCATAAATCCAAAATTTGTGCACTTGACGTCTACTTCAGTCCCAGGGTAATATCCTAAAGAGATTGGGGAGGCTTTAAATCCAAATCACAGGTGGCTTTCACAAAGTCATAATATTTGTTGTGCCGCCCTTGGGCGGCAAATTATTGGATTTGTTTCTTTTGTTTCCCATATCTTTTGTCACTGATATGGTTGAACTACCTAGTCAAGTCACCTGAAGAACCCTTCTGTTTTTGTTTTTTGACCTTTCTCTGCTATTGGGTATGGGTAGCAGCAAGCCATTGACGATACAAAAGCAGCATGAGCCACAGCAAAGCACTGATTTAGTAAAGCCTCCCATGTCGCCCGTTTCTCCGGCATCATGTGCGTATTATGTTTGCATAACTCGGCACCACCGGCTTATGGCCCTTTGGGTTTACACCACGACCTACTTTCTCTAGTTATCTGGCGTTCGGAGCCTAATCTGACCACCTAAGTTACGAGAACTAGGGGAGTAACCTTTGAGTGCTACGAATTTTCTACTGAATTCGGACCCCACATTAGCCTCCCATTCGCCCGTTTCTCCGGCATCATGTGCGTATTATGTTTGCATAACTCGGCACCACCGGCTTATGGCCCTTTGGGTTTACACCACGACCTACTTTCTCTAGTTATCTGGCGTTCGGAGCCTAATCTGACCACCTAAGTTACGAGAACTAGGGGAGTAACCTTTGAGTGCTACGAATTTTCTACTGAATTCGGACCCCACATTGTCAGAATCAGGGGTGTGGCCATTATAAGTGGGCCCGTTTCTGGTGAAGATGAGAGAAGAAAAATGCCCAGTGTATTCGAGGACTGGATTGTTGATTTTGATGCCTTCATGCTGGACTAGAATAAAGGTGCCATTTTTTACAAATGAATAGCACACATAATAAACAGCAGTTTCGCAGCCTTGTTTTGTAATGGCTATTGAATACGGCATGCCTGCTGTAATGGCTCGAAGTTTCACTCGATCTTACAGAGAGTGATCCCTCAGGCCGGTTTGCATCGAAAGTCACTGAAGAGCATCGAGAAGACTTGGAGAATTTGCAACCGTCGTCAGCTGTTGTCATCAAGCAGGTTTACACCGTTTAGATTTCTGTCGTACCGGAAAGGACATCCAACTGCCCATTAAGTAATTAAGATGGATGATCCGAATGGTATTTATCCATGCTTAGCTAGAATTGGTGACCTCAAGACACTTCAACAATCCGTACCATAAACATGGCGAGTGGTTATTTATAGTAGGTATTGAGTGAGGAGATCGTAATCAACAAGGTTTCTTTGGTTAGGCCAACCTCAGGATAACTTTCTTCTGACGTTACGGCTACAGCACGTCAGAAGATGTAAATATGATTGGTAGGCTGCTGAAAACAATGTAACTAGGTTCTGCAGTTGAGAAAACTCGCACGATTTCGACAGAATGCTGTGACAAAACATGGTAAATTCGAATGACCGATCCCTATTCATGGAAGGATAAAACTATTCTTTTTCAGTGAATAGGAGAAAACATTCCTTCCGTTTTGGATGGTGAATGTCCAGTCACTAGTTCGGGAAACGCTTTTTTAGAGTTCAGAAAAAGATCCATCTGTCTTGATTGCTTACAACAAATGCAATGGGGAATGGGAGATTTTTATCGTTTTGCAACATCATCCACAAAAGGAACTTTTCCACTGTACTTTATTCTGATGCAAAGCAACTGGTCTTTCAGTTTATCAGAAGGCATCTTAACCGGGAAACTTTATTCTTTGGGGAGGAGGCGGTGAAGGAGTCTTAATTTGGGGCATATAGGGACCTCACTATATAACCTGGTCGTTATTTTGGCAACCCATAGTGATATAGAATACAAAAGATTGTTAGACCAGTTTTGCAGTGGGATTTTGAGCATTGATAATTATGTGATCAAAAGAAGAAAACCCGGAAGTTCATTTTGAGAAATCGTTTGTTGTCGCGGATGATTCGCTCACTGATTTGCGTCTACTACAATAACATAACAGTAGGAAGAAAAAATCCAAATTTTATCTGCCGTTGCGAAGACGGTTCCCAGGACGAAAATTTTCCTAAATGACGTTCAGATCACCCATTGCCTGAATTCAATTCGGTCACCACAGAAAATGGTTAATTACGCTGACCAATGAACCAACAGCATTTGTTTTGGCAATACTGACTGGTTTGACACTTGATTGCTTCTGTAGCAGGCGAGAAATGAATGGATAACAGAATGCTTGATCCATACTGTCATCTGCTTCAGTTCTTCGACTTTGTGCAAGCTGGCTGGAAGAACGTGAGTTCAAGCTGTTGTCGGTGAATTTCATACAGCTAAATGGGAGCCACAGTGCAATCAGATAACTCCTAGTTCCCCTAAGATGGCAGAAACTCTTCGACAGCTGCGAGCTACGGATAGAATCTGACCACCGCTGAACACAAGATAAACTCTCCTGTGATAAAATCGCGCCTCATGCTAGGTGCAAGGAAGCCAAATAAAGTGTTAATGTGATAAGTTTTAGTTTGTTCTCAAGTTGCGAATTCATAGCTCACAGACCGTTGGGGTATGGAACCTTCTTGAAATGCGAAAATAATGTTGAGGAAAACCGGAAACATTGATCGAAACTTGGAAACAAAATGCAAGTAAAAATGAGTTCAGTTAACCCTTTGTGCTGCCTTTAACGCAAATTTACTTCTTATGACGACATGCTTAAATATATGCTCTGGTTTTTGGCTCAGTGGTTGGTTTTATCGTGTACTGAACACTTCCTCTTTAAACAGCTTTATGAGAGGAATGACCAAACGCTAATGCTTAAATATATGCTCTGGGTTTTGGCTCAGTGGTTGGTTTTTTCGTGTACTGACCACTTCCTCTTTAAACAGCTTTATGAGAGGGGATTAAATGTTGACACGCAACACTAATGCTATTCCTATTATGTTTGTGGGCACTGGCTAGCCTATTTCGGAAACAAGAATACCAAATACAAAATAGAAGAATGATTGTTGCTCGTTTTCTATACAGTCCGTGAATTCATTTCCACTTTATTCAACGCAGCTCCCAGGTATCCAGGACACGTGTGACTTCAGGTCAAATGAGAATGAAGCAGTCACAGAGCGACCGATGTGTTCTAGAGCGTGTAGCTTTCGATGCCCTCTTTGGTTACTGGCATCATTATTCGTTGAGCACTGGGTGGTTCATTTTTTTCCAGGTGTAACGGTATTAGCAATGCGGGGGGTCACTCATTACAGTGGAGAACTGTCATGCGAATGTCAGGGACGAGAAAGTGACGTATGAAATACCTGATGTTTTGGCCTTCTGAGTAACTGTTTTACCAGGACGTTACACTCAACAGACTTCCTGAATCGACGAAGTTGCTAGTAATTTAGTGTTGCAAATCATTTTTTGTGTGACTAGGGCCTGTATCAGATTGTATCTTTCTGGTGTGCCTACAAGTAATACAGTACAGTATTATGGACATCTTTTAGATGAACTGACTTCTGTGATCGTCCAGCTTCGAAGACTTGTTACCCATCAGATTGTATCTTTCTGATTTGCCTACAAGTAATATGGTACAGTATTATGGTTATCTTTTAGATGAACTGACTTCAGTGATCGTCCAGCTTCGAAGACTTGTTACCGACCGACTAAGAACCTGGTACAACATGTCACAATCAACTGTTGGCTTGTGTACAGCCTATCCTTCACAGGAACATCCGTTTGACCGAAGTGTACCTACAGAACCACACAATACTCCTAAATTCGTCTCAACAGCGCCGGGGCGAGGAGTTGCTATGGCTGACATCAACAATTCATGTAGAATTCCTTCGTATTACAACAACAATACCTCCCTCACCAGTCATGCAATTCACATCTATGAAAATACTCACAGTAAGCTTATTTTTGTGTACAACATCTACCTTGAATATGGCATACATTACTCAGGAACCAAATCTGCAAACATCAAGCACCTGACGTTGAAATTGACATAACAACGATGCGTGGAGCCTATTGAGGAATTATTTTGCTGACTACCTCACTTATTCATACATTCAACTGGCGTCCAGCTTCGCCTATGAGTCGAAAACTACGCGAAGCCTTGAATGTCGGTCCGAAAAAATCATAAGTATCCAACATCCTTCTCATTGGCAACTACAGGATCGGCGACCTAGTTACTGGTTTCTAGGTGGAGACCCTAACTTAAACGTCTGAAATGTCTTTGAAAAGATTTCACGTGACATAATTCAATAGAAGATAGTAATCTATAGGGTATAGGGTTCTTTTCTGAATCGCATCCAATGTTGTGTGAGATCGTAACCAATAGCTTCAATTTCATTGGATGACTATCTACCCCTTAGCCAAAGCCATTGGGTGCACAGTAAGACTGCTTTAGGTCCTTCTGCTTTTCGGACTTTAGTAGTACCCTTCCGGCAATCCCATGTTCCTCTGTGTATTTGGTATTAGTGATATTAAGTACTGATAAGCCATATGACCTCCAAGTGAACAAGTGACTCTCCGAGTAGACCTCAGGCGTGACTGGACTAGTAACAGGACTACCATCACTGGGATCATCAGCTGCCGCCAAGCTGCTCCACCATGACATTAGATTTCCTAGAACCTGATTGTATTTTCACGGTCCAAGGTAAATGAAACTGGAAGTACCCATCATGAAGAAACGGGCTACCATGCTCAATATTTAGAGGCAGCCAGCTATTTCAACAGGCATATGAAACTTATGCAACAGGTACTGGAGCATTTTTATATACCACCATACGCTAACCGCAGCTTACCTTCAACGGCACGTGGAATGCGCTGTTCAGGTGTGGAATGCTTGGCTGAAGGGCGAAGATAGGTTAATCAAGCAAGGACAGTGGGGGGTCATGAAGTAACCGATTGATGTCCACTGCCTACCATACGACCAGCCGTCATGTTCACTTAATCTTTATTTTGCAGCTTATAAAATGCTGTTTCTTTTCCTTTCAAATATTTCAATAGAACTCCTTACCAGAGTACCAAACTCGGTGCTATTAAATAGAAGTAATGGATAAACAACATCAGTACATAATGAAGTTAAGTAACTTCACAATGCCTTGACATAATAAACAATGACTGAGTATCCAGGTTCTCAGACAAGTTAAATATCGAGGATTTCGCATGCAAACTACAAGGAACCCGGATCTTCCTCAAATATGAAAAACAAGCGGTGCAGTTGCCTGTTTCGTTAACTTTTTAGAAGGTAGTTTTTCGAGAGCTTCGAAACGGTCATTCTGTTTGAATGTTAACATGGATCAAAGTAGTGTGTCCCCGGCCGGTCCTCCTTAAGCGAAAACGTTTACAGAACTGGTTTAGATGCCTTCAGAATGCAGAAACTAATCCTGCCAAATACATTCAAGCCTAAGCGAAATAACTCCCGTAACTTATCCTATACAGATTAGGTTAGATTGCCAAAAATGCGTACGCACCTGATGTGCGAGTAAACTGAAGGGTGCTATAAGCTGGTAATGATGAGATCGATTGAACCGAGACTCCCCTTTAACGAGGCGCTGACCAAATCGAAAAATGAATTCACACAATCCACCACAGATCAACTTTGAAAATAGACTTTCGGCACAGTGCTCGGACTAACAGTTTTTTGTGCTCACATGTTCAATGCGGCTGTCTGAGGGTTGTGAAGCAGATGTTTCACATGTGGGTGGCGCGCTATCCACCATCGTACCATGGGAATGATATGAACAAATTGTGGTGGTTCCGAATGTAATTTCGTGCTCTACATACCCTCCAATTTATATTCGCCTGCTAAAACTGTTATAAGCCCAATTTTTCATGCGCTTAAAAAACGCTAGCGTCGGATGGTGGCAGAAAAAATGGTCAAAACCTGGTATCAATACACTTAGATCGTACGGCTTTTGGAGATTATTAACCTTGTCTACCAAATATCGGGTGACGTTGAAGCCCATCATGACCAACGAACCCCCCACGAATTTAGAACTACACCGGTCAAATGCCTCGTATTTGTCAGATACACTACTTAGGCGTCCTGAGTTCGTCATTGTGTAGCTATGTGGAGAACTCCTAATGACTAATCTGACTGCTACTTTTCAACAAATCGCAGGTTCGCACTGTCGTTTATGTGAACGGACATGACAAGCGGCCCTTGGGGTTCTTCCATCATTAGGGCGATATGGAAGCACTAAGCGCACAATTTGTAGCAATTTTTCCATTGGTGAGGCATCCTTTATGTGTATTTGCCTATGGAAAACGTTCCTGTATTACTTCACCAATTGGTAACCGTCTATATGTAGGTGGAACAATCAGCCATGTAGCCAATGTATGCAATATAATCATCAGAAATGGTAACATTAATGCGACACCGATTGTTTTTCTGCGGTGTAGGCACAATGTTCACCTGATTATATGTAGTCTTAAAGTGGAATAAAAAACATGCGGGCACAGAGTAAGGACCTGGTACAAGTATTCAAGAGTGCTTACACTCGATCAGGCAACCAGGAAAGAAACTGACAACAACTGAAAGCATTTAGCCACCATCTTTGGAAACGCCTACAGACATCCCGAAAGATAGACCAAACCAATATCACCCTAACTCTGCATAGTGCATTTCATACCCTTCTGCCACTTCGCAGTTTTTCCACCCAGCGTCATTCAAAAGTAGGCGCGAAGAATGACACTAGTCTCGGTAGACAATAACTGGGCACGCCAATCACAATGATGATCAGGCGCTCATGGTCGGGCAAATAAATGTTCAGTCTTATATCCCGGAGGTCGCCGATTCGAGATGCCCTACTGGAATTCCGTGAGGTGCGCACTCCTGGTGATTCCCAAGAGGTATAAAATAACTACGCATTGCCTCTCGGGATTTCGGCATAGACTGGTCTAACTTATTGGATGAGTATCCATTAGAAATCCCCAAATCAACCCATCCCAACTCTTTTGAGGCATCGGTGGTTACAAACCCAAGTGTGCCCCATATCAACTGATCGCACAGACCATATCTCACTGGCTCTCACGGTAGCCTGCATAACCAATGACACACCGTTTTGACACCAGAAGTGACGGCACTTGTCAAACGTGGTTTCAGTTTTCAAGAATCCCCCACTTGAAGTCATCCCACCTCCGTCAGTGCCAGTATATCTGTGCCAAACCTTGATGTGTGATGCAGACAACCATTATCTCCGAAGTTGCCACAATTCGTGATCCGTGATAATCTTCACAGGTAGCTTCTCGTATATGCCTTGCCGATGCATGTTTTACGACCCTAGGCTGAAATCACTCTGTTGTTTCATAGGTACGAAATGACGACGTACTATAGCTGTAAATGTCAACTATGCAGTGGAGGAGTAATTGACTAACCAGAAGAAGAGCACTATAACACAGATAGTATATCAAGTAAAAGCGAAACTGTACGGCATCAACATATTTGTGAGGTGCAGCGAAAAACTGGCTTAGGCCCACGTGGCAGCGCATCGTACTCCACTGAGTCATTTTCCGATTGAAAGACTGACTTCCGTTGTAGACCATGGGTCCAGACACTGGATACGTTTTGGGCAAAACTCTCTCTCAAGCAACCAGAAAGCGTAGACAGATTTGGAAAAAAGGTCACGGTGAAGGAAACGTTTCTGAGTCTCTACGCTTCCAGGGCAATCAACTAATCGTAGGTAGAAGCGGAAAAATTAAAGTTTTCCGATCTCACTATGTTTTAGATTTACAGCAGATTCATGAGTTCCTTTTGAATAGGTGCTCCCAGGTTGGGAGCTACTACCGGGTCATAGCATCGCGGTTATTTTATCCGCCTTAAACCTAGTCCGGTTTTGTGTTTTGTGCAAGTGAACTAAAGTATCAGTGAACCCGTTTCAACGTATACTATAAGGGTACTCGGCTTTAAAACAAATACTCTTTAGGAGCACTCAAGAATTTTCTCACTTCAAAGGTTTGCTTCTGGAAGTTCGGATAGAACGCTGAAATTACCGAAGGAACCCACGAACTGTTCACATTGTACTACAGTCGTACATTAGATTAGAGCGAACCTGTTTACGCTTATTCTCATATTGTAGCTGTGCTGATTTGCAGTAAGGACTTGTGTTTAGCTCAAGCACGTTTTCGCACCTATCCAAACGACAGATTTCGGTGAAAATACACCCAGCTGTGATTATTATCACCGCCGCTATCATAATCGTGATCATTAATACCAAGAATTATCGTTTAAAACAATTGCTTTTCTCACCGAATGGAGATGGGATATATACATGCTGAGAATAAAGTATTTAAGAATAAAATAGATCAAACTAATCAAATCAACATGATTTTCACCTTCCTGTTGAACCTGTAGGTGTTCCAGGCTCATCAAACATGCGGTCATGGATTTGATTTCCTTGGATGCACTTCCGCATAACGCTTTAAAAAGCTTCACCTACTCCATCAACAAATCCAACGGAGTCGGCTTTGAACAGTAAATTTCTCGACTGCTAGTTGACGAAGGTTTTAACCGTCTATTTTTCCTCACTACAACGAAGAACGGATAATTAGTCAAATATGTGCGCCAGCTTCCTCCGTCTGCCCCGATCGTGAAAGGTCCATGGTATCCCGCAAAACCCGTCAGCTTCTTGCTATGGTAGATTTTTGCCTATTCTTGAGGAAAACTCTGCTGAAACTAGGTGCTTCAACTCCAAAGAAAATTAAGTAGATATAGTGTCTTCAAAGCAGTCTAGGAATGCCAGAAAGCATGCAACATTGCGGTATCCCGCAAAACCCGTCAACTTCTTGCTCCTGCAGGGGTGACTTCTGTCTTTTGCAGGTTTTCTGCCAACAGACATCGACCATTAAACTATGATTGAGGTTCCTTAAACCTTTGTTATACCTACTCAATGGCATCACCTGTTTGGTGATCCAGGTTGTCACCTGTTACGTAAGGCAGAAATTCTAAGAGATACCACGATGAAGAAACTTGCATTTGTCAACACCGTAGTTTGAAACTGTGGTTGTATCACCCGATGTAGGTGAATATGAAATGGACCAGAGGCTCCATATCTGAAAGGCGTCTCGTTAGAAGGAGCTACGGTGCTGTACCGCAGCACTTTCAGGGCACGAGAATAATGGCTTATGCCTTCATGTCCATAGTGCGATGATGGTTATTTCAAAAACTAAATTTTCCTCTAAGTTGGCCACAAGTCCAAGGCGACACTTTTTGGTGCATTCGGCGAGTTTGGGCTGAAACGACGATGATAACTTCAGAGACTTAACCTGGCTTGGTTGACAGAGTAGGCGCTCGTAATTGCCGCAACATTTCCGAAATTTCAAATTGTGTATGACCACAGGTGACCACAAATCAAATTAAAACAGGCATCGAAGAATTATGCTTTTTAGCTTAAGGGACCAAGGAATACTCTTTTGTTTCCCAGTCCTGGAGATATACTAAAAGATATACGAAACCCACGACATTTCAGTATCTATTCTATATGCGCACGAGAGTGCCAGAAGAAAAACTGTGGTATTTCACGGGAAAGTTCATGAAAGTTTCAGAATTTTCCCAAAGTTAGAAGAATAAGAGCAAAAAGAAAACGTTCATGGTTTTGCATACAACGACCAGAATGCTACAAAACCGAAGCGGGCTTATGTGCCATTCTAAACTTATTGCATGACCATATGTACCAAAGGACTGTGGTGGTCAAGATATTTAACACGTGTCGTCTACTAACTGGATGAAACCGGCGGGCTTAGTTTGAAAGCAAGTCTGTGTACACCACCGGAAAAGACCAGATGTCAATGGAGAGCTACAACCTGCACTCTTGTCTTATCAGAGTCCTCCGGTCGCACATTTCTGTTACTTGTCGTACGCAATACACAAACTTCCCATATTACCGCTCTACTTTTCTTTGATGTTTCGGTTCTTCCTTAGTTCGAACTAAGATCGAAGATTCTTAGGTCTTCAAAATAAGTACACTTAAATAAAGCATTTCAAATTAAGGTGGGGGGAGCTCCCAAATAGGTCGGACAAACTGATATCATTTTGAAAAACCACACTAATTCGTTTTTTAAGGGTAAAAAGCGAAGTAAGAACCTAAAGCATGATATGTTTTTTCTGCATGCTTCGAGAATGTAAAACAGATAGCCGGCAGCTTTTGCTCGTCTTGTCATAATGAGAGTGAGTCATGAAGACGGAAGAAGTTCCAGCTGAATGTTTACGCGTCACTGTTTTACATATGGTTTGGATCTAGTACTACCCCAATGTACAGCAACTTTCATTCTGGCCATCTTGTCGGATTTCGAGGAAAAATAGAATTTCAGCATATAGTCATTGAAGGGAACCGGACAACAATGGTCGGAGGTCACTGGTCCAAAGCAACGTTGGTTTTCACCTCGATTTTCCTGCTTGCCCTGGACGCATCAATGTTTAACAACCCCTACTACCATATGCTACATTATTCAAAGGCACATTGATATGGTAGATTTTCGCCCATTCTTGAGGAAAACTCTGCTGAAGCTAGGTGCTTCACCCTAAAGAAAGCAATCTAGGAATGCCAGAAAGCATGCAACATTGGATAACATCAGAAAAATATTGTCTTACCAGGCTACTACTGTGTACGAAGGTTTCCTTCATGAGACCACCGAGAATCATTGATTTTAGTGGGTGCTGCAGTCAGCAAACGATTATCAGTCGGTGCCAGAAGTTCGAGAGCTCACCAGAAAATGGAGTAGTTATTAACCTAAACGTAAACGTATACACAACCTTGCACTCTTGAATGCCCAAGGAAACAGAGGAAGCTTGTTTAACAATACTATATGATTAACAGTAGAAACCCATGGCTTTATATCATTGAACTGTGATTTCAACGCAATGAGTTAGAAGTTTTATTTGGATCAGCCCTTAAGAACATCATAAGCAGTGACATTTTGAGTGAACCTCTTCAGATTCTTGGGCAACCTCCCTGTCTTAATTCTTGGATCGGAGATGATGCTTTTCTGCGGATAGAAATCATCCCATGGTTTCATGTACAGTCTCTCAGAAACTGTTCAGCTGCAGTTGCTCCCTTCTACGGAACCATCTGTTACCATAGTCCTCAGTTGTAGCTTCTTAGCAGCAAGGAGCCATAACGCCCATGTGCCAAATGAAAAAGATAATGTCTTCCAGGCATCCGACCACATCGGGAACTAAGTTATCTAGACTGCAGTAAATCCTGAATGGAAACATTACGTCTGGGAGACTCCTGAAGTAGTTTAGTGCTGGGCCAGAAGATGCTGGTGATTCACGGACAAATCTAATGCCCCCGTACAGAAGTAGTGTCAGTTGATGAGGGTATTGCCATATCTTATGGCCGTATACTACCTACTCACCCAGTTCGCCATGTCACCTCCTCATTTGCAGACATCATCACTGACTGAATCCATTGAGATTTTCGCTGCGATTTCGACAGATAAGCAATTCGTACAAGCCGTCACGAAAAGTACCGGACTGTCAGAGCCGTTCTACACCTTGGGCCATGATATCTTGGATACCTTCTCCCAATTAACAGTAGTTCTTGGAAATACCTAGCGTTGCGCCATGATACACCGTCTTATCCATGCACACTGAAGTCATAAGAAGTTGCTAGATACTGAATTGGGCTTGCAAAATAACCTAATTCTGTGCAAATATGGTCTCCGTACAGGTAACAGATTCTTCGAAGTTATAGAAATACCAGAGTGACTGCTACTTGGAATGAAATAAGTGTCAAAATGGAGTGAACCGAAAATACTGCGACAGTTTAGTGAAATAATTTGTTAAACAGTGTTACACCATCGAGTGGTCTTTGTCCCGTGAACGATTTTCCATCTTTTCCATCAAAACATTTTCCACGATCAAAAATGATGAAATGGTTACAGGGAAACCTTATAGGTGCGACGGCATATATGCTAACAGACGTAGGTCAAACGGACAACTTTATGTGGTAAACAGTGGACATACATCGCAATACTTGCATCTTTACAGTGGGATGGGGGTTCGAATTTAGGCCTATTCCCATTCTCACAGGTACTACCTAGCTTTGGCTTGCACTACAGTTATTATCCACATAGCGCATAGCAGTGGATTCAACCAGCTGAGTGATATCCTCTAACTCTACCTTTGATTGATTTACTCCAGTCCCGTTGAGATATTGGGGCTTTTACACGTTCGAGACCGCCATTCGAATCATCCTCAATTTGTACGGACAAACAGACAAAAGAATTACACTCATGTGCAGGATGAATGGGTAATCACGTGAAGATTTGGCCAACCCCCAGCTAAAACTCCTTTTCGAATTTGTCTCCAGCTGAATGTTCTGTATAGGGACCGCCTCAGGTTCGAATTGGTATGATATTCAACATACCGTTCTATGCTTCCCTGACAGAACCCAATAGCCTACCTTGTGAATGAGTGTGTTCCACCAGTTCCGTAAAATCACGTGTTCAGACAGAACAAAAGTGTGAGAGAAAGCCAGGGGATGATGATGAATCGCCCAGAAGGACGAAATCGGTTGCTGGCTGTCGCAGAATTTTCAGTAGACTTCTATTTAGTGTCCTCTGAGGAAAGTACGGAACGAAATGAAATTGGGCGTCAGTGACAAAGGTCTGGACAAGCCATCGTTACAACGGAACACTGACTCATTTATACTGTATGAGGAAAAAAACATAATATGGGTATCGAGTGACATACACAAGGGAATGACACAATAACTGAAGAAATAACGACGAAATCTATCGGGAGAACGAAGATGGGGACAATGATGGTGAGTTTCACTACAATCAAGAATCGTATAACGAGAGTAAAACAGAAGAATCAAAATGAATAACCATTCTGATATTTTCCAAGCTAAGAACATACAATATAACGCGCATAATAATAGAGTCTAATTCGATGGCGTCTTATGTGTTCTTACATATTAATTTCAGTGACGCATGCCGCCAGTCGAACTGACGCACTCGTTGAGGAAATACTGCGGATATTCCGCGCTGGTCAAACAAGTCATCCGTTGGTCAGGGGATTGGCAATTGACGACGTCAGTCCAATAATCGCTAGTACCTCTGAACCGGTTGAAGCCACTCAGGTTCAAAGCATGAATTTCTGCCCCACATCATGTCAAAAGTCAGCTATCACCTACAGAACTCCAAGCAAATCTTCAGCGTCAGTCATGAATGACAATGAGTACCTAGAGTTCGTATCGTCGTTTCACCCGCCACCGAAGTTCACCGTTTCTTATCTTCCAGATAACCAATATCTTTAAAGTTCACTACCGCAGTTACTTATACATTCCGTCTATCCCAAGTCCTCTGAAGCAGCTTCGGTGGAAAACTTGACCCAAGTCATCAGCTGTGCATCCCTCTTCCTCTCCCAATGATTTGGCTGCCTTGAACTTTGAAGACACGCTGATAGTGACTGGGACCGATAAACAATTGTCGCTAGAGCGCTAGATTTCTGTGCAACACTATCAGGTGAGTGACTTTATCTGCAGCTGCTTTTTAGTTTTGACCGGTCACTTTTATAACCCCACAATGCTACTCTACAGCAGCGTTCCAATAAACTTTGAGTTCTACTTAAAACTTGTAGAATAGTTTGCGCTAGGTGCTATTGCTCAGTTGTTTCCCTGTAAAATCGGTTTTGAATTAGCGAAAGGCTGTTTTTCAGAGGTACGATGGGTTTTAGCTGTGTAAAGTCCATTGCATGCCTTTGTTTTGCCGAGGCGGAAGTATACTTATGTGTTTTTAAGAGGTTAGTCTACAGCACTCTTACACTCAAGCCACGTTGTCCCCCTCCAAACAGTTGTCCCTAGAAAAACCAGGGGCTCTATTTTGATACGGAGGGATACGCACTGCCGAACTCCAGGAAATGTGAAAATATGGTTTTCTCCTGACTCCTTTTTACTAAATAACAACTTCCCACTGCAAATTAACTACCTTTTTCCACGCATGTGAAAGTTACCAGTGAATAAAGAAAACAATAACCCCCATATGAACAAAAAATCTGGCAATCTCGTCCCAGTGGAACAACGTGGTCCCAATAAAAAAACTATTATTAGCGAAATAGTCATTTATCTGCAAATTTAGCTTTGACGGGATACGCACCTCAAACCCAGCTAAATAGCTCTTTCATACAGTTTTCAAGCAACTGCATGTGCTACACCAGGCCGCCTTACGTTTCAGTTAGCAGATATCGCTTCGAGATATCGCAGTATATTTTCATGAAGGATACTACTTGCAAGGTTTCTGACGACTGTTTGATAGTCCAGGACCGCTTTCACCATTTCTTGGAGCTCATCGTGTAGGCACAGTCCCCGAGCTTTCATCAACTTATTCCATATAATAACTAATAAACCTGAAAAATGAAACTGCAGTACGGTTGAGCCCTTCTAATGGTTGTGTACACTGCAGCCAATTGCAGAACGCGCTTCACAACATAGGCTTGGTTTTGGTTGTTAGTTTAGTGTAAGAATGGTTCACATTATTCGCGATCTTAATCGCTTGACAACAAATTAGGTGTCTGGTTGTTAGTTCAATTGTACTGGTTTTTATCCCTGGATGATCACCTACGCTTAAATCAGATGATTATGATCCCCCAAGGTAAAATGCCGTTAATTCAGCTCGGTCGTAAATATTTCACGATACGCGGGCCAACCACGGTAAAGTTACTAAACTTAACTAGTGGGAGAATGACATATGCTTCAAAGATTAATCACCTTAGGAAACCTCTCCCGTTTTATTTCCTGTAGGTACAGCACTTACCACAGCCCATCCATCAGTTGGGCCAAGACGTTCAATGACAATACCGACAATACTCAGCTTATCGTCCCTGTACACCTACTTTCTCCACCGCAAATAAGAGCCTTTGCATTATCGAAATCTTCCGGGTAGAGTTCAGTTATTGCCTTCATGTGACAGAGGGCAGTAGCAATGTGGCCACTTTACAACTACGAAACACAGAGCGAGGTCTAAATTTTCTCCAGGGGAATTGGTCCAAAATAAATTTTCTTCCCTCTTTTAATGTTACCCCCAGTCGGCTATTAATCCTCCGCGGATTAACCGGGACTGCAGTTTGTTGACGTTAGACGATCCCAGATAATAGACCTTGCGATTCAGTCGGGTCTAGTTACCAAGATCATCAGTATGACACTTGGTTGTCAAGGCTAATGTGCAAACACCAAGGCGGAAGATTGACACATTAGAAAATCATGGTTACAGTCAAGATAAACAAAAAGGCATCACCCACAGATGACTGCTAACAAATTTGGACCTCAAACGAAACGGTTCTGGGTCTGATAATTCCATCCAGTCCAGTGTTTCTTAGAAAAAGGATACCGGCATCTTTCTTGACCATTCCGCTCCATTTTTTGTGTGGTATTCACAGAATTATTCATATTTTCACCCAACATGATAATGGATGAGGATTTTGATGTGTAACCGCAACATGGCTCAGTTCCTTTCATTTTCCTTGGAATATTTTGGACCAACAATATCTGAGTTCATCCGCTTGTTGTACTCAGGAAAAAGCATTGCTGACATACACACGACGTTAAGACGAGGATTGTGAAGTGTGGTAATATCCACTTGATGGTGACAGGCTGGGGGACAGAAATTTAGCGTGATCGCCTCTTGCACACTGTCAATTAGGCAAACGGACCCAAAGTTTTTAAGAGGGTTGAGTTCGTTTACTATCATGAAGAACAGAATATGGACTTCACTATTTAAAGATGGAAAGTTGTTTCAACCTGGTATAGTAACATGAAATGCGTCTTCCGTTTGCAGTGTCCAAGGCATGTCGATCGAATGGGACTTTCAGTCAGCTGATGAGGTAGTCAGACAATCTCACTGCTGGTGAATGGTAGGAGCATTTTGTCTATTAAGTCGTCAATTGTTCCAGGTGTGAGCTCACCCGTGAGCTCAAACTTGCGTCCAGATCACGAGGTATCTTTTGAGATTCTGGAAAGTACAGCAAAATGAGGTCTTTAGTTCTTCGGGTGGCCTATAAACGAGTGTAAAAGCGTTAGATATGTTACATTCAGTTTCAGACAGTCCCACGTGCATCTGGTGAGCCGCATGTGAAAAGGTTTTCCGGGATACAAGAACATTCTCAAAGTCCCGACTATTCATGGTTGGCGTTTTCAGACAGTCCCACGTACATCTGGTGAGCTTCAGTAAGGAGGAAATGCCGCAGGTGAAAAGGCTTTCCGGGATTCAAGAACATTCTCAAAGTCCCGACTATTCAGGACTGGTCGAATTGCTTGAATGTACAGATGGTTGATCACAGCGAAGGTCACATCACCCCCAAACTATATGATTACGAAGATCACTTGGTGGGCGCATAGTGCCGTAACCCGCAGCCTGAAACTGCTAACCAAAGAGCCACTTGTTCGAAAGTCCCTAATGAGCTAAACTCCCAGATCGTGTGAACTTGAGATGAAAGTCTCTAAGATCTTTAAGAACATCATGAGGGATTCAGCTGGGTTTCAGGTGAGTATGACGTCAAAACCGAATTGGTATATCCCTGATCCTTTGTTCTCTTTTGAGAAGGATATAAGTAGCTCCAGCACGCAATAGTTTGATGTCTACCCGACCGAGAGCAAGACAGTGAAAAGTTCCCATCTCAATGGATGAAAACGTTTCTGGGTTATTTTCCGGGGTAGAAAACAGTGTTTATCTAAATTCGTTCGATATTCCGACTCTGGTTTAGATAGTTAGATAGTATTCTAGATTAGCTTAGATAAAGCCTTTTACTTTTTGGGGAATTAGTAATACCGAAATTCCTGTGGCACGGTATAACTGTATCTACCTTGTAAGGTGTTACCACCAGTTCATAACTCAGGCAAGTGAAGTCGCTTGCCGAAAAATTAGTCTTATAATTGCAGTTGTTTTTTAGGTGTGGTAGCTAATCTCGCACCGGAGAATCATCATCATCATCATCATAATTTCTTCTCTGAAGACCAGAGGTATTCGGTCCTGAAAAAGCCATTCACTAGGCTTGCCCTCTTGGTTGGAATTCTTAAATGGGTGTAGCACCATTCGATTCTTAACAAATTCCAACATGCTGAGCAAAGCCTCTCTAAACTATGAGTTGTACAATAAATCTCCATATAATTTTATTGTTTTCACCTGTCTTCAGCGCGTCTTGATACTTTCTAGTGAACCCTTCTCATTAGCGCCAACCTCCAACAGTTCTTCAAATAGTCAGTATTAGAACTCATCGGATTTTTTTGTTTTTTGTAAGAATATGCACCAGTTCGAATTGTTTTCATCACATTTATTATCCATCAAATCCATACTTACTAACGATCACTAAGGAACTTTTGCATGATATTCACCATGTGCGGTCACCTCTTATCTACAGTGTATAACTCAGGGGATACTGATCAGGGCCGTCGATCACTGACACATGTAGTCTATGAATCCCCACATGTTCACGGAAAACTTGTTTTTACACAAGATAGGATAAGTAAACAAGCGTGACAGCTAAGCGGATCTGGAGTAATCAGTAGGCAAACGTATATTTTATTTATCCTTATTTTTTCAGTATTAACACCGGCGGCTTTCAGACCACTCAGTTTAACCTTGTCGAACAAGAGCTATACCCCAGTGGTGCTGAATTACGAGAACCGTTGTGATATTGTGGAGTTCTGCAGCCCCTACTTCACCCGTTTGCGAACGCAGCCTGCACAGTCTCATAGGAGAAAGTCCAGCTTTTTTCCGCTTATATAATACGGCTTCCCACACACTGAAATGACCACTGTGATCACACAAATCTTTGAAAACTTGGAGATGCTTCATTTTGATTGCATTTTGTGTACAGGAAACATTTTTCAACAATAAATCATGAAAATTGTAAGATGACATCACTGCATCGTTGCGCTTAGGTTGGAACAAAAGCAAACAGAGAACGGTCTGCAGTGTGAAAAAGCTTGGAGGACATTGAAAAGGAAATCCATCGAATCGGTGTATACAAGTGGTTGCCAGTCTTTGAGGTAGTGAACCTCAGAAATTAATCCCGGGGCGCCGAAGTCACTGTCTGTGTTCACAATTCATTAGCTGGGTAATAAGCATTTCACAGTCAATCTGTCCAGTGAGTGAAGTATATCAGCTCACTCGCGATCCAACGTAACTAGGTAAAGCTCATTGTCGGGTGACCGCAAGGCTGAAATGCATGTGGATGGATGTAAATCATCGGTCATTCGAAGAATTAGTAGCGAAATGGTGGGAGTTTGGGATGCTAAACAGGCAACTGGTGCAGGTGCTCATTCTTATGTCGCCACAATGTTTAGACCTGGTGCTGAATTGCGACAGATCTTTGAAGGTTCTGCAACCGATACTATTATTCCGGGCCCACATCTTTGACAAGGGGTTGTGCGTAGCACAGCAATCAGCCACGCGCAATTCGTCGATGGTGTCATGCGAACGTATCCAATGGTTTGAACAAAGTTGACCGACAAATCTTATTCATATTCCATGGATCTACCATTGATCAGCGACACAGAACGTTTACATCGTTTACATCCTTATGGGTTAGTAAATCAAGAGTATGCAGAATTAAGTAGTATTTCGTCTTTCATTCTGTGAGCCTTTTCATCGAACTGGGATACCATTGGAGAACCTATGCGCCACTAGAACTGAACTTTCCCAGAATATGTCTAAGGCGTTATTGGCTTCTATCGATGATATTTACCTCAAACTTCTTACTTACTAGTCATTAGGCCTATGGATTGGCGTCAGGTAGCCACTTTAGATACATTGCTGGAGAGTGATGTAGCCTAACCAGGGAGAAATGATCTGTAAAAGGTTAGAATCATGTATGATCTGTTCGCTTGTCCACTAACGTCAATACATTTGACAAATTTCGTGGAGGAAGCATTGAGCAAATGAGATAACAGGCAAGCGTCCAATGAAATAAGCACAACTTATCAGTTGCTTCTCTCGCATACAAATGCCCAACGGCCGTTTAAGAGAATTGTGACGAACCGCACATCTTAGTTTGTATGATGATGTGGGTGGGTGGTTCACAAATAACCATTATTCACTACGTCCACTCTTCCATTCGATGTATCCGGAGTGATATTTGATGCGAAGAGCATCGACTCCCACCAGATGTGATTCCTAGGAACTCAGACAACCGACGTGGGCAATCATAGCACCTGCGAGGATCATAATATCAGTGCTTCTTGCTCGACGAATGAGCCTGGCTAAACCCTTCTCAACGTCAATCCGACACTACCGACACTGCAAATAGGCATCATTTTTAAGTTGACAGGGATTGAGCTTGATCGAGCTAGATAACTCGAGTGTGCAACCATGACTCATCATTGAAATCCAATCCAGCAAAGCGTGTTCAGCTGTGGGACTAAGTGCAACTCCCACGCCTTATATACCACGAGTCGATGCTTGTTGTTGGTGTGATGCTTGTTGGTGTTTTTAGGTACATGACCACTCCTAGATGTTGTGTGCGTGTTTCAGACACCCAGCATACAATAGATTTAAGGGAGTACGAGGTCTTAACAAGCACTGCATATTTTCCAATTTGACAGAGTACAGACGTTAAAAGCTTCTATGTAGAAGGGGTCTTCTGGATTCGGCGAACTGTTTTTTGTTTGTTTAGAGTGTGCTGTATAATGCACGTCGATCAGACAACCGACATTCATATTCCATGGATCTACCATTGATCAGCGACACAGAACGTTTACATCGTTTACATCCTTATGGGTTAGTAAATCAAGAGTATGCAGAATTAAGTAGTATTTCGTCTTTCATTCTGTGAGCCTTTTCATCGAACTGGGATACCATTGGAGAACCTATGCGCCACTAGAACTTTCCCCGAATAGAATATGTCTAAGGCGTTATTGGCTTCTATCGATGATATTTACCTCAAACTTCTTACTTACTAGTCATTAGGCCTATGGATTGGCGTCAGGTAGCCACTTTAGATACATTGCTGGAGAGTGATGTAGCCTAACCAGGGAGAAATGATCTGTAAAAGGTTAGAATCATGTATGATCTGTTCGCTTGTCCACTAACGTCAATACATTTGACAAATTTCGTGGAGGAAGCATTGAGCAAATGAGATAACAGGCAAGCGTCCAATGAAATAAGCACAACTTATCAGTTGCTTCTCTCGCATACAAATGCCCAACGGCCGTTTAAGAGAATTGTGACGAACCGCACATCTTAGTTTGTATGATGATGTGGGTGGGTGGTTCACAAATAACCATTATTCACTACGTCCACTCTTCCATTCGATGTATCCGGAGTGATATTTGATGCGAAGAGCATCGACTCCCACCAGATGTGATTCCTAGGAACTCAGACAACCGACGTGGGCAATCATAGCACCTGCGAGGATCATAATATCAGTGCTTCTTGCTCGACGAATGAGCCTGGCTAAACCCTTCTCAACGTCAATCCGACACTACCGACACTGCAAATAGGCATCATTTTTAAGTTGACAGGGATTGAGCTTGATCGAGCTAGATAACTCGAGTGTGCAACCATGACTCATCATTGAAATCCAATCCAGCAAAGCGTGTTCAGCTGTGGGACTAAGTGCAACTCCCACGCCTTATATACCACGAGTCGATGCTTGTTGTTGGTGTTTTTAGGTACATGATCACTCCTAGATGTTGTGTGCGTGTTTCAGTCACCCAGCACACAATAGATTTAAGGGAGTACAGACGTTAGAAGCTTCTATGTAGAAGGGGTCTTCTGAATTCGGCAAACTGTTTTTTGTTTGTTTAGAGTGTGCTGTATAATGCACGTCGATCAGACAACCGACGACCCAGCAGTTTTATTGTATGGTTGGAATGGGGTGGGGTGGAGCAAAGGGCTGTGTGGGAAAATGAATCCCGGTTACCTAGGCTGACAAGGGGCTTTAGTTAAGATACCTCACCTTACGTATTTGACTCAAAAGTATGACCCACAGGACATTTGAGAAAATATAGGGCTTTGTCCGGGGACCCTCTGACTCAAAGGTCTGACGTGCAAGGCAGCAGTTGCTCGGTTTTCTTGAAGGACCCTTCCTAGAGCCAATGACTCAACAGTCTGAACAACCTGTATGAAGGGGACTAGCATGGACTAAGGACGCAGGGATAATGTACAATTGTCTGACTTCTGAGGCAGCTGTACACAGCAGATGCCTGTTGAGTAGCACTGGACTTTTCGTTCCAAAGGTATTTCGACCGCAGTGAATAATGCGCCGGCGGTCATGGTCCATCGTTGGGCGATCGGAGTTTGCGGTGATAAATGCCACAAGTGACGTTTATCACTGAGTGGCTAGCATTAAGGGCGGATTCACCGGTTACTACTGGTCGAGCACGCGTAGGTGGTTAATCACACTAAATTTGCGAAGAGCCAAATATAGTACCGAGTCGAACCTGATGCGATAAACCCCGTGAAGCCATTTTGTTCCTGATACAGTGTTGACTATCTTGGACTAAAAATTGCCCTGGACTTTTCAAAGGTATTTCGACCGCAGTGAATAATGCGCCGGCGGTCATGGTCCATCGTTGGGCGATCGGAGTTTGCGGTGATAAATGCCACAAGTGACGTTTATCACTGAGTGGCTAGCATTAAGGGCGGATTCACCGGTTACTACTGGTCGAGCACGCGTAGGTGGTTAATCATACTAAATTTGCGAAGAGCCAAATATAGTACCGAGTCGAACCTGATGCGATAAACCCCGTGAAGCCATTTTGTTCCTGATACAGTGTTGACTATCTTGGACTAAAAATTGCCACTTGCAGAGTGCCCATAATTTTCAAGATCCTTGAGCGAATTTCACCTGAGAGTAAACAGATGTGGTGGAATCCGGAGATGCTCTGTAGAATAAGGGTTCTGTGGTAAACATTTAGAGAAAACATCACACATAATCTTTCAATGTCCACCTGACGAGTCTTAATAAGGACAAAAGGCTACATATGACATTTCGGGATCTGATGACATGTTCCTGTTTGGTCAACTTTCAAGCTGGTGTCTTGATAAGTGTCATGGTCTTCGACCATTCATATAATAGGACCCGACTATTCGTGATTCGTCGGACTTTGTTGTGAAGTAATCAGGGTTGATGTTTTAAGTGGTGAATCAACCCATTGTTCTCAAGCGCAAGTCATGATAGGGTGAGGTGGATGGAGTCTAGGGATGCATCTTCATGCTGAAATATCATGCGGGGGCGAGATGGACCAAGTGATTAGAGCGCGAATTTACTGACCGGAAGGTCCGTGGTTCGAACCAGACATCTGCCACTCGACTTCCCTTGTCTAGGCTTGGGCAACCTCGCAGTATCCCAGCCCTCGTGCCTCCTTCGTGTGACATGGAAGCTAGGCACCGAAAGGTTGCTACAGCTGGACGACTATTATTTATTATTATTGGAATATCATGCATCCAAGTCGGTCCTCGGATGGGCCTGAACCAAAGCTCCTACTTAACTTATCCCGACAGAAAACACTAGCAGGGTAAAACCCCATGATATTTCTTCATCTCAACTCGATATACCGTCTGGACAGATCGTTTCCTATCCATTGATTGGAGAGCTATTCAGCCCTGTCCACCGCACTTTCGTGGATTCGGCCCTGAGTAAGCAGATCGCGTTCCACCGTAATTGTGGAGGACGTTGTTTCATATAATCAATACAAAAACGAGTCTCGTGTTGAATGCATCGACTACTTGATTTGTCTTTACAAATAATAATTTCGCATTCTTCGGAAATTATGACTATCAGATGCGATTCTGCCAATCAGAAAAGTCCCAAAGGGTGCCTGGCCTACTGCGCGATAAATAACTCAACTGATACGACCGACTGATACGTCCCTCGAATTTTACGACGGTCGAGGGAAACAATATAACAGATGTCCTGTTCCTAAACTGATTACGGATGGTCTTGTATGCAATTACAGCGTGTTTGGCAGATACCAGCAATGAAATATGGCTTAATAGGCATTTCAAATCCTGGGTAGCAGTCGTACCAGAGTTCATCGTATATATGCCTATCGGCAATTCCTTCTGAGCAATAATGACTTCCATAATGGACAAACTGCTTTGCGCAATGTAATTTAGCAGGTTTACTGCATGTCGGCCAAAAGAAACTAAGCCGTTCCTTAAATCCAGCTATCAGCAAGGCTGACAGACACCAAAACCAAAGCGACAACCTCAATTCTTTACTACCTTACTATCTTACGATCCAGAGGTAATTGAAGCGATACATCTCACGTAGAGTACTCAATCCATCCTTTATGAGTCTGCAGTTCCAGTCGGATACGCCCGGAAACTTTGGTTACGTCATCGTATTGGTCAGGTTATTACAATGTGAATCGAAATTGCTACAAGTCCATCCGACCGTCACAATAAAACAAATAATGAAAACGAACTCTGAAGAAAGCAGATTTTGGCGATTTTTTCAGTGGCTGATAAATTCAGCGAGGTTTGAATGTAATGTGCACCAAAACAAAACCGAAGTTGCCCAGCTATCAGGATTTTGCCCATCTGTTCCCGGAAACTTACACGATGGCTCCTTCAGTCTGCTGAACTTGTCACCGTCCTTGCAAATCAGTCGAGTGGAAACTTTGCACTGGTTTCATCCTAGAAAAACGTTACAGACGTCCCAAAATAAAATCCCCGAATTCATTCCGCTACCTGGACTTTGCCATCCCTACTCTATGTTGGCACCCATAATGAAAAGGTTGGTCACTGTTCGTGAAACCTTATAAAATCAAAATGCGGCGATGTCAGCATGGTGCTTTAGCTCTGTTCCTGAAATGTCCAATAGGAGCATGACATCAGCGCACACCACTCAACATCGTGATTTTTTTCGACAGATTCACAATTATTATGCATTTTTGCGTAGGCTTTTACCCGTTTCGCAGAGGGAATTTCACTGTCATCTGCATAAAAAATTACGGGGCATAACGTCAGCCCTCCGTTCGATTGACAGACTTCATTTCTCAGTGTTCCACGCAAAAGGCGTACACGATTTACAACTTTAACAAGACCGGTACCTGAATGTGTTCAGGTACTGCCTTGCCAGTGGACCAAGAAATATAGATCAAAAAAATAAAAAGTGCATGAATTCAAGGAACCAGAAAGACTTCTTCACATTAAAGGAGGAGTACCATTGTAAAATAAACCTCCTACACACCAGGGGTTTCTGCATCAGGTGTATTGTTTACTTGGAAGTCCCCTATATTTAGACGGTATACTACCAGTACTCAGAAAAAAAAGCTGTACTAAAACGGTTGAATTTGATTACCAGAATCCGAGAATCGGGAACGGCAATTCTAAGACATCTTTAAGTAGGTCGAGAGACAGGACAAAGGCCGAGTCTTTTATATAAGACGCGAATTGAACAAGTCAACAAGGAAATCTATGTATAATTTACAACATTTTACCAAATATGTACAATTATCATTGTATCTTATCATAGCGGTCGCGCGTAATGACACGAATCCGTGCTTTCTGTAGTTCCTTGGGAGTGGCATCTGCCGGAATCAGAGGGCACACTTTACGTTGTTGCTCTTCAGACCCGAATCCGGCCCGCGCGTTAAGGCGAACAGCCACCGGTACCTACAAACCAGGGAAGCAACACTTCTCATAGGGAATCGTTACGCAACTAATAATCACATCAGTAGGAATGGTGAAGGGGTGGCGTAAAACAAAAAACCGCAGCGCTCTGGATTTCGGTGAATGGAACGATCTGGAAAGACTAATCATGATATGACTAAGTTGAATCTAACATTAAAAAACATTTAGCGGGACTGTATGCACCAAGTTAAAGTGTGATAAAATGAGTAACCTTACGGGCTCAACAATCCCTGAACGGTTTTTGCCCAAACCTTCTCCGTCTTTCCAACCCATTTTCGCCAACAGTTGCGCCCCGCGGTTCTCAGCTCCGATCGGTGTGGACAAACTAGAGGTGCGTTGGGATGTTGTTACAGGCTCCACGGGTTTGGGTTCGATCAGATTGGGGGGATGCGGAGTATCCACGATGCCCGTCGCCTGCATGGCACGACGCTGAGCCGCACGATCGACATACCCTTTCGGATTTTCACAGGAGTTTAGGTACTGTAAGGAGGCAGTTGAGTGGACATTACTGTTTAGTACAAGTGCAATAGTTCATCACACTAATATACCATAATAGATAGTTCAAGCAGAGCATAAGGTTGACGGAAACTAGGGGACTGCGCCTACCTGATGGGCCCCAATAAGGGCGAAACCGGTCGTGGGCTGTCGAAGAGTTGTCAGCAACCTTGTGAGTAGTTTCCTTTATAAAATAAATGTCATTTTCATGTAACAACCAGTCTGACAGATGTAATTGTCGCGTACGGTTTCGTGTCCAATATCAGGCACCAGAAATGACCACAAATGGCATTAGTATGAGTTTTCTCCCCCTTCTTGAATTAATTTCAAAATGTACATAAGGATTGAGAAAATTCGTCGACAATTTTAACTGATTCGGATGACCATTCACCTGCTCATTCAACCTGAACCTGCATATGCTGACAATCGAATTTCATGAAGATGAATTCTGGCGACCACGAAATTGAGTTTTACCATTCTAATCTCGAGCTATCAGAAAAAGTCACCTCTAGAGGTTGAACGATCCAAACGAGGACCTTCGTAATTCGACTAAAACGCTACATTTCGGGTGCCCTCGTTTGACCTCAAGCGGCTGGGTAGTGTTCCCACCCTTGTGCTTCCTGTGAGCTGAATGGCAACTACGGATCGCAAAAACGCCACACCTGAATTATCAGTCTGAATAACAGGTGTAACTATTGGGTGATTGTTGAATCCGCATCCATTACATTCTCGGTTATAGTCTCTTCCTACTGAAAAGTTGAGGAACTGAACCGAGTCACGCCCTTCATGTGGGTAAAACATATGCATGACTGCACCGGGATTTGAACACCGGGCATACGAGGCGAGCACGCTGAAAGCATCTGAATTATGGCGTCTGAAGGCAGTATGCAGTTAGCGCTGATCGCTCAGTGGTCTATACAGCACCTTCATCATAGGTGGAAGAACGGAGTTGACAATGATAGGGCACAGATACACCGGATTCGCGTACAGGTACACTGAGAAAACGCCCTACTTCTGAAGCCAACGCCATTCATGATCAAACGATCTTTTTCGTTCAGCAAGCCTGAAACAAAACCACTACTATTTTTTTACTAGAAATCATTCCTAGTGGATGGAATAGAACATTTTTGAGTAAATGCTGGGCATCGCTAGAGACTGAACAAGACATGGCCGTGAAGTACTAATAGTAAATGACTTAGAGAGGCCAAAAGGTGGGAAGTAACTGGGACAAAGTGATCATATTATTTCACCGCGCCGTTCAAGAGAGGTATCACAAACCAATATGATCAGGTCATTTCTCTTTACGATCCTTAAATAAAATGCCCCGACAACTCATTTATATACCGAATGACGACAAGGAACAGTATTTTGGATTGTTCTGACAAATTAGGGAAATGAAAACGAACATCACCACCAGAAACATTGTCAAACGGAAACCATCTGGCGTCCGAGGCGACAGCTTTATTGTTCAACGCATCTCGTGATCCTTGAATCCGACTCTTGTTACACGAGGTAACACATTCAGGAAAAAAAAACAAATGAAAAATACAGGAAACCTTCAACGTTGCAAATTATTATTCGCCTTTCGTTTTTGCGACAATTCCGATGCCGCAGTCTTCCATGAAATTCACCAAGTCGTGTGTGGGACGATGGTTACAACATAACGCTGAACTTAATAAAACCCGTCTATGGCTGAGATCTCCATGGTTTGCAAAGTGCGGCAAAATCAAAGGTATTCAGGACGATCTGCCCATCAGAACACTCGTGACCGAAGCTTTCAGCTGGGCACGGTTTTCAAAAAGGAATTTTACAATTGGACGATCAGGCTATTCTCTCTTTCCGAGCATCCGTTTCACGGGGGCGGTCTATCTTTCGCAACGCAAACAGGTTTGGGACGCCCTGATTTTACTGTGTCCTTAGAAGCAAGCCTTTATGGGGACAGCACGTCTTCGTTCTTCAGCAATAGTAAACGTTCGTATCAGCGCAGCAGTATGCTCCGCCGGTTCCCGATTCTACTGAACTCAAAAAAATGAAAGCCAATCAGTCCGGAACTCTCAGACGGTCGAAGAAGAAAGTTTTCATGCGGCAGAGTGTTGTTTTATCTATCCATTGCCTCTGCTAACTCACGGCTATGAGCGGCAAAACACACTGTTTTAACGTCCATATGGGTGTATCATTGTCTTGGATAACCGCGTTGCCTATTTGCCATAAGATGACAACCAAAAAGTGCACATTCGGGTGTTCCCTTTAGGGTGTCCTATGTGTGGTACAGTGATCCACTTGAGAGAGAAGATTCATGCTCTTTCACCTGAGGAGTTCCTTCTCGGTAGAGGATGAGGCTAAACATTTTTGGCACTAACTTCTAAGTTAGCTGTCCCATCTGCATCTCACTCCATAAGCATTGTTCCGAGTTACCACAGTCCCGAAACATTTCCATTTCTGACTGCTAAAGGCCTTCATTTTCACGTATATTCGGAATTCGGAATAGTTTGCACTCCTCCAGACGTTCTTTCATAAACATTCACTTTAAAATTCTCCCTCAGGTTTATTTTACTTGCACTCCGCGGTTCCAATCTCCCCACCACCTAGAAACTTCGAACAGGGACTATTCTGTATGGTTTCCATCTGTCGCTAAGTTGCGACCGGAAAAAGAGGTCGAAGGCATCCGCCAATACAATCATATAAGTGCATCCAACAGACCATGGGGAAAAGGTAGATGGTGGACACAAAATACTCACTCGAATGCCATATTTCTCCTTCAGAATGTCAATATTGACACGCCGATGAAGATCTCGACGAGCAGCAGCTAAAACAAAAGCGACACTTATTAAAAATATTCAAGAAATTTTCAATGTCAATTACCTGAGAAAACGACAATGGCAGTGACAGGGCGCATCAGGAATTGTTAGGGTCACACGGGTGCTACCTGCAAGCAGTTACGCTCAACACCGTTATCCGGATCACAGACGATGGTGGGTTTCCTAGTTTCTAGATGGACATGGAGTCGACAAGTGCACCTGGAAGCGCGTCCTGTAGTGCATACATCATACATGCTTCCCACATTTTGCTGTTTTAAACCACCTCATAAATAATGTCGAATCCTTACGGCACTCTAATCTGGAAAGGATATCCACTCGCCCATTTGAGTGTGGGACGACCATACATACCCCATGTTGGCTCACATCAGTAAGACCTCTCGATTAGCAACAAAACAAGCAAAGCCGCACCAATAACACCGAACAAGCTGCATCACAGAAGAGGATTAAACAGTCGAATAAAGCGTAACTGGACCAGATCAGACAGCTGAGTCTAAGGCGTGCAGGAAGGTTGTGTTACAGTACTATGTCCGCCTGAGTAATTCGTTCTTCCGTACTTAATGGAGAAACATGGATTGCGCACAATTCGGTCGATTCCACTCAAATGACCTATCCGTGGTTATGGGGCTCAGCATAGATAAAAAAAAAGTGCAAATCTCCCGCAGTCGTTCCGCCATTCAGTATTATTCAACCACTAACATGATACACGACACTTTCAATAACAAGTTGTTGGTCTTCAGTGTTGGGATCTATGGAAGGCTTGACCGCAAGAAATGAGCACCAGAAATGTAATTTCGAAGGTGATCATTCGACCAAGCAATCCACAGTGTGGAAGCGACAAGCAACTCACGCAATCAGGCCCTTACGATGAGCATCCCCCACGGTTAACTCGCTCGGTATGCAATAATCGGGAGGGAGGGTTGAACTAATTCTGAACAGTAGAGAAATTCCCCCGGAAATCGATATTTATCCATGCGCAGGATAAGTTCCAAGTTGTCGCCCACCTCCACAGATCGGAGAGATTATAAATGAAACAGTACAGCTTTTTGGACTCCCGATTTCCCTATCAAAAATTTGTAGAAGTGATGAAATTTTTACGCTCTTTTCGAACATCAGCTAGATATAACGGTTGGGGTATTGGTGAAGGGTCACTCTGCTTCAATGAAACACCGCGTCACGACGCATTGACGACTTTTTCCTCGGTTACTGGTGAAACTTTTGTTACTCAAATGAGCAACCCAGAGAAAAAACGATAGTTTCTATTGATTGGATGGAATCCCGGAGGTATTCGACTAAACGAGGCATGAGAATGAAGCCATACCATTGCCCAGTAGCTAAAAGTCAGCTGGTAACGAATCCGATCTTTCGGAACAAACGCACTAAAACGAAGTCCAAAAGGAAATTATAAATTGTTACTAGTAGCGGAAATGTTCAACTGTTTAGCTTATCAAAGGAGGAACATCTTGGAAAGGCGACCTGAGTAAAGTTTATCGAGGTTCATCAACGTGGTGCCTTCCAGTAGGCCATGGACGGCACTGCCTACTAAGAGCTGTATAAGAATGTGACTACCACACCAATAGTCTGAGCTGCTAGTGTCAGATCCCATTCGGTTCTAGAGTTTTCACAACGAATTTCGTCACTGAATCATGTATCCAAGCCGTGTTCTTAAGAGAAAATTTAAACTAACGTGATCCGAATTAGAGAGTATAGCGGTGTACATTAGAGTGGAATAAATCACAAAAGACTTGGTTTGACCTGCATTTAAGTGAGACTATTCCAGGTTAGTACTCAGCATAAAGCCCATCCAGAATTTTGAAGTGGGTATATTTTATTTGAATATGTCATACACCGCGTGAGCTGACGTCACCAAAGGCACTTCAGCCACAATTGTTAGAGGGAGATTATCAAAAGTAAGAGATGAAGAGTTCTTAACCTGAAAAAACTTATCAAAACAACGATTTTTCAAGCGGACTTCTGTACCCAATCATCCCGTTGAGACCACAGGATAAGGTATCAAGACAGCTGTACCTTGTCTTCATTTCCACCACCACAATCTATAGTTTGATAAGCTGATCATTTACATAATCATTAAAGCATTCCCGCAAGAGTCATAAAGAACAATGAGGCTAAGTGTATCCTGCCTATATGCGAAATCAATTACGTAGGCGTTTTGAAAAGGCAAGTGTGAAAAACAGTTTCCAGTTATGCTTTCTTTAGAACCGCAGTACTAGTGCAGAACTAATCCCGTAAACACAACCGAGCAACTGCTTTGCGTCAAGGAGGCAAGCAACTGACCTGAAAGACCATTCGTCACGTCGGAAGAATCTGCTTCAGAGGAGGGAGGACCATCTGTCGCCTCCTCCAGGGCTAACCGAAGGGTGTCCGGATCGCACTGATCACAAACTTCCGAGCCGCGATGCAAATGTACGAGTAGACGGGTGGCACCGATACGGAGTACATCACCGTGACTCAAACGCACAGGTTCCGCCTGTAAGATACAATCAGTCGGAAAAATTGGCAATTAAGTGAAGCTCAAATATCAACGAAATTGAGAGCACCTGCGATCGGCAAAGTGCTCTTGCCACTAATTAAGCTCCAAAAGTTAAATAAAGGATATATCATTTTAGATCACCAAATCAGGTATCCTACCAACTGAAGTAGTCCTGATACTGGCTCTAATTCAGTCAGACTCCGGTCTGTAGACTGGAAAGATGAGCCGAGTGCTTTGTAGAGCAGTTTAGCTGACCTCCTGCAACACGGCCTCTGGGAAAGTGCATACGGGGGAGTGGAATGCAAACATTAATCGCCCGTCAAAAGAAATAAAAAACGAAATATTCGTACTGAAATGGGAAACGGTACCAGGGTGGGACGGTCTGTGTCCAGTCCTCTTTGAAGATGGAGAATCCCCGTGGACCCATCTGACAAAAGTGATTGACGCGATACGGGGCGAAGAGAAAGTGCCTACAGAATGAGACACGCTTACGGTTATTCCTGTCTTCGAAAAGGGTATGCGAACGCTGTGTGGAAACCGCCCAAGGCATCACTCTGGTAGCTGTGATATCGTAGGTGCTCTCTGGTCTTATCGTTCGAAGCTTGAGGCAGATCTGTGAAAACTAAGCTGGGTTCCGTCTTACAAGAGGACACACCGATCACATTTTCATTCCCCGGGGATTACCAGCAAACTCAGCTGCGCTGGTGATTACCATCCACCTACTCAAACGTTTTACCAAGTGTCCAACAGTACTATCGTTGTTGCTTGACACGAAAGTGGGAATCCGCTAGCTTCCACTGTCATCACATTATCACTACCAGCCGCATCGATGAACGTCAGTGCTCACGCGAAGGCCTGCTGGTTTACTTGAAGGAAGCCTGTAAAAACGCAGTATTTCAGGATTATTTGACTACCAGACATTTGTTTCTATAATCTGAATTGAAACTGAGGGCACGAAGACATTGTGCAAAAGCTATAAACACGCAGCGAACTCAAAAACTAACCTTCGGAAGCAACTGCCCATTCACAAACGTTCCGGAAGAAGATTCTCTATCCAACAGAGAATAGTTCTCTTCGGTCTGGTTGTAAATAACCTCACAGTGAATCTGAAAGACGGCAGTAGAATAACGCACAAATTGATAAGGGCATGAAACGAAAAGTGTTCCACTTGACAGTTCGAAGCAGGCAGGATGCAGAATCAGGAAGTTGAGTCAGTAAAAATGTGGAGGCTACATTAGCAAACTGCCTACGTTGCCAGATATACACTATTACCCGGTATGACACGATCCAACACTAATGGTGTTCGGACTCTCACGCGCAATCGTGTAGGATAGTTCGCTGACTGATGTGTTTCGTGTGGATGTGAGGAAGAACTCAAGTTATACATCATGAAACAGGAAATAAACACAAGGATTTTAACACTACCGGTTACCTAATTCTGGGAAGACCAGAGTGGAAACTCGCAGGTGAATTCGAGCCATGGAGATTCTGATAGGCAGCCTGTGTTCCATCCATTTTTACCAATCAGTGACTACGCCTGTATCAATCTTATCCGTTGTCCCCATACTTCTGGTCGGGTCCGAATGTACAGTGAGTCATCTAAGAGTTTCTTTTCAAGGTTTACTGCTCTTCTCCTCCCTTGTGTATTTTTGTCAGTGATTTCGTCTTGCAGTGCACACTTGAAGGAAACGTGAGTCCAGATATCGAAGTCACATCTAGAGAAAGACTAGTCAACTTTGATTAAAGGGACGAGAATGTTTCGATAATCGACGATTACACGTCTGCAAAAACCACTAACAGAAAATATCGGAATTGGTCCTTTGTTTCGACATCCATTTTATGCCTTCAGTTGTAGAGTCTTCAAAATTTTCCAGCCCCTTGTGTCCTTTGGAACGTCAAAAATGGTTAGACCGGTTCTGTTGATTGGTTTAGGCACCTGGTCACCGGTTTCATTGTGAAGTTTGAAGTCACTGAAATTCAGGCGTAACTAGAATTTGCTAACTAGCGACATCTAGGGCATCTGAAGCGAATTTCAGTGATACTAACGAGCCGTCCATACAAATCAACTGCAAGGACGGCCTTAGTTCACTGCGAAGCATGAACCTCCGAGTCGAGGAACCCGGGCGTTCTCGAAAATTCGTACAACTGTGCCCCGATAAACTGGTGAACCCCAGTCAATGCGGCAGCAAATAGAGCTCACCAGGTTAAGAAGGCTGTGACGTGTACCACGGATGTCCAACAGCCGCCTATCAAAGTTCAGTTTTTCGTTCAAAACCAGTGTTGAGGAAAGGGTGACGGAGAATGAACCATGACATCGCAAGGTGAAATAAAAGTTGTCGAAACCGGGCTTAATGCTGTGGGATCGTCGCGACTTTCTGGCTGGGGACACGTGGCTGAAAAACTTGCACAGGTAAGTGACCCCACTGAAGTTTGTCTTGAACTTCAGCTAGGTTGGCAGAAGATGCTGGGAAAACCTTTCGATGGCGCGCTACTCAGACACGATGCTCAGATATGTTTCAGTTGGGGACGAGATGGCTCAGTGGTTAGAGCGCCTATCTACTAACCGAAAGATCCGCTGTTCAAACCCGACCTCTACCTCTCGACTTCTTCTGTCTAGGTTTGAGCAACCTGGTAGTATCCCAGCCTTCGTGCTTCCCTCTGGTGGCATGGTAGTTAGGCACTGAAAGGGTGCTACAGCTGAACCATATGTTTCACTTCCCTTCAAAGGTACCGACCTGTTGTTCTTATCATCTTGTTTTAACAAAGACCTACCCACTCGCTTTTGGCACGCTTTACTAGAGGATTCTTTTTCTTATTTGTACGGGAGTTGGGGGCCAAGGTTTGTTGCCGATGGATTGTGCTAAATAATGTATATGACGAGGATTATACGGGGACGACGCATTGTTTACATTCTGGAACCAACACCCACAAAGCTTACCACTTACGCACTTACAGCTCCTCCCTACCTACCATACGTATGATGCATTACTATATTTAGTAAAGCAAAACTGTCCTGATTAAGCGGACCATCATAAACGAGATCCAGCTGGATTTAGTTCAGTTTCCTGTAAAAACCAAACTCGTGTGCATATGAGAGTAGTTGTCTTGTTTAGGGTTTGGTCGTTGGCTTGTTCGCTGAGCTGGGCAATTCGATTGCAAACGTGTCATCACCAATCGAGGTGACAATCAGTGGGTTGTTGAGGAGCGTAGTGGCGCGTAGCGGTGGGTCAGTGGTTGTGGCATACTAACCCACGGCTACTCACCACTACGCTCCCCAATAACGAAAGAGTGGATAAAGTGTTCTCGGAGCTAAACGCTGAAGCAACAAAAATGGTTTGACGATTATTGGAACAGGGGACATGTTCCTCTCATGGTACATATTCACCTAGGTTAGCGGCACATTATAAATCCTGGATAGATTGAGTTTCAGTATTCGAGTAGAGCCAAAATGACGATTAAAGGACGCTAATTGTTCAGACTAGGATAAAACCATAAATTGGGGACTCGTGAATAAAGGACATCCGGACGCATTTGCAAAAAATTTCTGCTTTGGCTTTGAAATCCCCGTAGGCGTTTTCAGCTAACCTGAACAAGAACACTAAGCATGCACCCAAGAGACCCGAAGAGATTTTTCCAATCATTGTTCGCTTCATCTCGTGAACTCGCCGTAAACTTGCGACAAATACACTAAGTTGCAAACCAATTTGGTTCTCACGGGAGACTCAAGTGAATCTCTCCTTTACGACGTTCTTCAACTGAATGTGAACTTAGTTTATATTAATGCGGTTGGTACAATGTGGTGTTTCGGCAGAAATCAAGCACAAAACCCATCAGTTGAACATTAATCAAGCTACGGACAGATCCACTCCGTCTCGTAACAGTGTTGTCAACTAACCACATCAGAAAGTATTTCCGTACCCGAGCACTGGCTGAACTGAAATAAGTATACATGTGCGTGTACGAAAGGACACCCGGTATGAGAGGAAATCTGGTTATTGCTAATGAATTCCTTTATTGGGGCGTTCCATTGTATTTTTTCCAACCTGAACCGGTTACGATAGCCCATTCTTGTGAAGAATACGTGATGCTACCATCACAAACAACATTACTTCCGAGCTTTCCTTTTTGTGTTATGAACTTGGGGAGTATCAAAACATGAGTCTTCATTGTGACGAATAGCTGGCACAGTACGCAGACGGTTTATTGGGCGCGTTACGCAATCTAGCCAGAAAGTCGTGAACAACAGGGATATCCAGCAAAATCATTAAGACAATCAGTAAACTGAAGGTAACTTACAGTGCTCACATCCGGATCGTCAGGAAAGTTTACAGACGGACAAAAGGTTGGATTGCGACCGATACATCCCCAGCCCCGAGATGACTCTTCACTTGTAAGGATAAATACCGACCCGAGGGGGGCGCATTCAGATGCCAAAACTACTAGACGCACACCAGGTGGGTAAACCATGGGTTTTGCCGCAAACGATGTCACCTGCTGTGCAGGCGGAGTTGAATGACCAGAACTTCCATCTATGTCTGTTGAAATTTAAAACAAACAAAACTGAAAGTGACTTCAAGCCTAGTGAGTTGGTCGTTGTCGATACAAACGAAAATCGGCAACCTTTTACAGTCTGGGCCATTCCAAGTATTCGGAACGGGATATGTCCAAACGTTTTTGCCAGCCTTATACGTTAGGTGTTACCACAACTAAAAAAGTCGTAAAAATTACTCTAATTTGGTAATGTAGATAGGGTGCAATCGTTGGTAGTTGATTAGGTGGCTGTTGATTTGTTCGCCGGGCTCGACAGCTGACTTGCCAGATCGATAGCCACCTGATCAGATAAAAACGTAGCCTTATTTGTACGTACAGGAGTAACGCGTACACAATCCAGCCATCCCTTTTGCTCCATTAAATGGACCAACATAAGACCCTGATAACAATGATGGTAATCTTACTGATAAAAATGATGACAAGCCCTGTGGTGAAGTGATGTTAGGAAGTTTCCGTCAACCCTTAATGCGTAGGTGAACATGCGGTGGACTCCGGTTTCAAACAAAAAAATGACTTGTATCAACATGGTTTTAGTCCGCGTAGTTCACTTGTCCATGTGCAGTCATTCTGGTCAGTCCACATAAAGCTTCGTTCTTACTAGGGCTCGGAAGCACAGTCCTGGTGCTACTCGATCTGAAAGTCCAAACGGGCGTGTCAGTTGGTCCACACAACTGAACTCGAGGTAAATCAGCGGTCAGAACACAAAACAACTAACCAGAAGGGCTCCTCGACAAATTCGGTCGACTAGCATACGGAGCACGTCACCAAACCAGAGTAACTGTGATCATGGCTCACAAACTTCCTATCTGAAAGTGCTCAGATGTTCCATTCTTGACAGTGACCACTGAAGTATAGTAAAAGCTGGCATCACGCGAAGACCTATGTGATACAATAGTCTTTTACACCAAAAATTGTTCCACAAGGGCTCTTCCAAGATGGATATCCCTCAACACAAAAATTCACCCGTATGCTAGTGATGCAGAAGTTGGGCGTTTTAAGAGCCAGACCACGAAAAACGTCAGAACTACAGGGTGATGGATCTCAATCATCTGTGTCATTCAACCAGGCATAAGCCTTTACAAGTTGCAAACGAAATAGAATACAGAGGTGAACAAACCAAGGCACCCCGGTGTCCTTCTTCCAAATGGATAGCATCATCTCAAAAAGTCCAGGGGTTTTAAGACGAGCTCGTCGCACACTTCGGATGTTCGAAAATGATGCGATAAGCAGACTGACTAAGGCGAACCTAATAAAAACAGCACCTGAAACCCACTACGTAGTGAGTGTTTCATAACAGTTTAGCAGTGTACAATTGATATAGGCTGCCTTTAGCAAACAACTCACTCTCTTTATCTTGTTTTGAGTGGAATCGTTCCTTCGGTGAGCAGGCATTCGCTCTTTTTCGCTTTATCTTCTTTCTGCTCATGGACCCAGTGAGCGCATCTTGCTCGGGCGACGCGTCCGAGCAAGCGGAGTGTCGTCGTGGGTTTTGAGGATAACGAGGAGAGTCTTGGGAAGAATTGCTCCGACTACTGCTGTTTCGAGACCTCCGAGAAGAGCCTGTCCTAGACCGTCTTCGGCAACGACGCCGGCGATGACGTGAACGGTGTCGCGAGAGTGGGCTAGGGCTGCGCTGCTTTGGGACCGAGTGTGCATCCTGGATGACGAAGGGGGCATGGCATCCCCAGTTCGTTGCATTCACGGGAAAAGGCAAAAGGAAAAACAATACAAATCAGCAAGGGTACCGCAAAAGTGTGCGGTTAAGCACTCGTCTGCGCAATGCCGTGGCGACGTCGACGAGTTTGCCAGATCCCATAGTAGGTTGTGGCTTCACGCTGATCTGGAACAATGGAAGATACCGAAGTGCATTCAACAACGAAACAACTTATTTGTTAGAAGATTGAAAAACAGTAGATACTAACCGCTTGTGGGTCAGTGCGCTTACCTCTGGACTGCGACCGAAGAGTTCTCTGAGCTCTGCTAACCTCCGGGAATCTACTGAAGAACGATAGGCATATTCACCAGTTTCCGAGTTATAGCTGTAATAGGTGCCTGTTCTTGGTTCGAAGAACAGATGATGTTCCTGGGTAAAAAAGACTAACATCTGGTGTGTTAATCTAACATACTGGGTCGTAGTAGTAGCCACTGATGTGATCGAAGTACAACCCGGTACGTTCGTCAAAAGCATAGCCTGTGTGTCGAACGACGGATTCGGAAGTCTCTCTCAGAACTTCTGCAATAGTCTTGCCTGACTTGTTAGTGTGTAACTACTAGAGGGCCTACCGCTTTCAATGCTTGCTAAGTCACATTTGACCCCAAGATCCAAATCGGAGCGTGAATGGTGATGTTTTTGAGATTCGATTTCTACGAAAATAGAAGGGACATACAAGAAATATTTACCCTGTTCCAACTGCGTGTTTCGGAGTTTGAGTGACTGGATTAAAGCATCTTTTTCCTCCAACTCTTTCTCTAGCACGTAGATCCTCGTTTCCAAGTCACTGAGTTTCTCAAAGAGGTCGAAATCCATTTGGAAATAGCCGGATCGGGTGAATTACTCGATGTTATTCACGCACGCTACCATGGGCCTCACAAGCAGATGCTAGCGCAGTAACCTACAATGAAAAAAGTTTTTTGAGTAGTCTTGGAATGCAAAACCCCTTCCTAAAAAACCCTCTTATTGCAAGAATGGGTGCTGAGCGTTGCACCACCGCAGTGTAAATCCTGCCCCTGACAAACAAACTGAAGTCAGGCCGGCACCATAGGTGTCGGATGTTGACAACAGCTACCCTAGCCTTCCCGATTCGAAAAGTAATCCCATATTCCGCCAGCCTACCGGAACTTATACAACTGCCCAGGCAAACGAATTCACCTACCAAGTTGATCGGCTCACCGGCAAGCATAAGGTCTGGGTTTGATCTCACCCAGTCGCGTACTAGAAATTTACGATTTGCAGGTGTGAAGCGCATGCAAAACCATGCAATCTTAGGTTGTTTAAAATCGTCCACATTTGAGAAGGATCTGACCAAGGAGAGCAATATGGTAGATGCATCCTCGACCAAGGCGAAACCTAGCTAGATCCTCACGAATCTGTCCGATGGTTCACCAACCTGCGCAAAATAATGCCGGAGATGCGATACCAGTCTGATACCACGATGGCTTTCACATGGCGTTCTTGCTTCCTTTCTGAAAACTGTGGTGACGGTCGAGGAGCTCCACTCGACTGCTATTATTTTTCCGTCCCAAATCTACAGCATGGTTGTTAGACTGTACACCAGGACCTCACCATCTTCTTTGAAGTATGCGATGTACAGACTATCCGGCCGTGTGATGTCGCGTTAGAGGACCAATATCTTATGAGGCGTCACGAAACGAGCTAAGGTCCTTAGAATAAGAGGATGGAAGCCATCGGGTCCACAGGATTTAGATAGGCTGACAGACTTAACCATGTGCCTGCTTCTGGGGAGCAAGATAGGTTGTCAAGTTTGGACGATATGAGTACCACCGGCTGATAGTGCTGGTTTCCAGCGGAGAAAACAGAAGCAAAATGGCTCGCTAACATTGATGTCTACTCGCCGTCACCTGATAACAGATTGCATTCAAAACTGCCTTCAAAATGATTTCAGTCGTTTGTCCATTTGTTGATAGATTGTCGTCCAATTTTCGCCTTTCGTACAAGAATTAGCTTGTGTCGCTTGTCCGTATTAAAAAAGTTGAGCTGTTGTTTGTATGCTTCGTAATCAGCAAGGTCGTTCGATGTTATAACCCCCTTTCATCGTTCTCGGCGAAGTTTGGCAAGAGTACACAATCACATGGGAAGCAGTTAGAAGGCGCTTCCATTTTGAAGAGCATAAACTGACTATGCAGTCCTGCTCCATTTTCCTTTGACATTGACCAGCAGACATCGATGGACATCTGGTCCAACTTCTGTGCCACATACGTAAAGCATTCACGACAGGTCTCAAAGCGTTTTTTGTGGCTTCTCGCATAGCCCAACACGTATCCAACAAGCGCATACGAGTGGTTACGCCATTGTGATCACCATTATCAATCTGCAAGAGTAACTCCACTGAGCTGTTGCTCGAGGCATGTGAACAGTCGGTATGGAACGTATAGGTCTTCGCATATGCTACACCAATCGTTCAGCGTCCACCGATGGTGAAACCAATCGTAGCTCAACGGTTGTTACGGGTAATCTCCCCTCAAGATCTGTGCAGCACAGTATATGAGGACAGCCTCCCCAGACGATGGGTGCGAATATGTTGTCACCAGGCAACAAGAAGTGTCGTTTCTCCAGGTATCGCTGGGCTGGAATGATCTATTTTGAGGACATGCTCAGTGGGTTATGAGGGTAGTGATCTTCCGGCATAAAAGTCCAACGGGGAAGTCACTTTGAGCTCTGGGTATTTCGCACGACTTCTCGCATAGTCCATGATAAGTGACAGCTATACCAGAGTAAGCGCCTTGCTACTAGTGTCTCAAAGCCATAGGGGCCCTATGTTACGATGATGTATAAACCGGTGCGGAGCTGCAAAAGGTCATTCCTCGTTTGTTCCGCTTGCAGTCCGGGTGCCCACGACATGCGACCGCGACCAGGACGGTATCAGCGACGGTATGGCCGGTGCCTATTATGCCGAAGACAAGTACCTTCTCCAGTGGATTGATGTCAAGATAGCTTTGTGGTATGTCTTGCAGACTCACAGAATATATTTCCGGATGAACGCAACACAAATAGACAGATGACGGAGCACTTTCCCGGTCGCGGGTGCGGTCCCTTCGCGGAATTTGAGTCCAAGAGGCGAGAATTCCAACGGGAAACGGGCATATGTTATGCCCGCTGACACAGCTATGCAGTAGAGAACAGCCGACTTGACGTGCAGGAGCGCAACTACATGTGGGCTTTGCTTCCTGTCACTTCCTGTCCTAAAGTGGTGGTAACCAGGTTTCACTCCTTCATCGGCCACACCCCTATGTAACCAAGTTCCACGGACCCCCCATTACACCTGACTCATCGTAGTTAGGCCAATGAATGTTATCGCACCTCCGTAGCATGCTCCTGTCGTTATAGAAGGCTAGAAACAAGCTAGCAATTGGTACTGTGTGTGCAGTCCCAGTGTCACTGGTCAGTTTGAGTACTTGCTAGTAGACTCCTTGAAAATGTATAGCACGAAGAATGTATTCCTCTTTCTTAGTTTTCCTGAGCTACTGTCACAGCGCCTTTGAGTTGGGTACGTTGTTATCGGTCGATATCCATGCATACGTGAATTTCCATTTAACTGAGTCCACAAATTTGAGACAGCATGCAATTTCGCGTTTCCTCGACTTCAACCGGTCGGCTGCTGTCCGGGATGCCCTGGCCAAATAGCAAGACTCACAAAACGCGAGTGCTTTCCTAGTCTGAACCGAGGATTATATTCATTATTTCTTGAAGGAACTGCATGTCGTAGTTGTATATGACCTGTAGAGTCCCCATTTCGGATCAAGTGGCTTTAAAGACCTTAAGGCAGTGTCCTTTTGGGAATTGAGGAGTCGGATGACTCTATAAGTTACGTTAGCTGTTGGATACAAATTGCAGTTCCGGTACTCGGTTTATTTGCCCTTAACCACACGTTATCAGACTCTTGTTCCATATCTTGTCGAGCAAGTCATTAGTTACAATCGGGGGATCTATCGGGAATCATACCCGGTCGTCTTCACAAAAGCCTAAGCAGATGAAAACGAGGTTATACCCACGAAAGACGTCTATGATGTCATACAACACTGGGATGATGTACATACACATCAGACATGCGCCAACACCCAGAGGGTTTCGTATTGCAAAGTACATTCACCATCGACAACAGGAGGATTGAAAACTTGGCATTCTTCGCGAATTTCAGTCCTTAGCACCATAATTCTACGATCCCGAGGGGAAATTATCTCCCGGCGAAAAGCAGCGTTCCAATTCCAATAACGCGCGTTTAATCAGGGATTCACGATTGATACACAGGATCGAGGCTATTGCCCAAGTTTCCCGGGTCGCTTTTGTCCTTGTCGGTCAGTTGCTGTCGCTCACCTGAAAGGCACAAGTGAAAAAAGGTGTAGCACTGCTCTACATGTTCTCAGCGTGGGGCAG